TGGCACAACCATCATGTGAAAACCTTCAGGACGATGGGCATCATGAGACCTGAATCCGAGTCTGTGAGAGACAAGAGCACAACGAGCGAGAGAGTTAGAGAGAGAAATAGCGAAGGAGACCCAAAGCTCAGTCTAGGACCATGCAAAGCAGCAAGGGGAAGGCCTGCCCAACAACACAACTGCGAACACAACTGGGTGTGCTAGTGCTGACGATTTCCCGTGTCGCAGCAATCGGTCATTTTTCCTTTATTTGCGAACCCAAGGTGGTGGATCTTCGGCGACTCTTTACTTCTGAGGCATCTTTTCCTTCTCGGGAGTCAACGGCAGCTCGCCCAGTCCTAGGCTTTTAGGGTTTAGGGCTTGGGGTGATTTAGGGTTTTGGGTCTAGGGACCGAAAGAACTCTTTCAGGAATGCGAGGAGAGACTCGCTTGGCCTCCTGAGCCTCCCAAAACTTTTTGGCGATCTCTCTCACGGACCCCCCTTGCTTGTAGTTGGAGACGATAATCTTGATCTCATCCAAGGAAAGGATGTCCTGAGATGTCAGGAATCGGGTTGGTTTCTGCAATAGGTTGCTCACGACTTGCAGGCCCCAAATGCTATGAAGTTTCATGGGGCTGGTCCATGTCGGGCCACAGAATGCCTTGCACCTCGTGGAACCATGCCAGAGGCATATCCTGTAGTCCTGAAGGAAGCTAGCATGGGCAGCTCGAATCATATGTTCGACTAGCAACCACACAGTCCTGCGGACTCGAGGAGCTTGAAACTCTCCATTGGCATGGGTAGCTGCTCCATGTCGCCTATTCAAAACCCCTGCTGCCAATCTTTTGCCCTCGAGCCTCAAGCCACTGGAAATCGCAAGCTCAAGTTCAAAGATTCAAAGCACATCGCAATGCCGGCAGGCAACCCCACCTTCTGGTGGAGCACGACGATTGGAGCTCGCTAGCCAGATCAAAAAGGGCTGCAAAGGGGGTTTTGCACAATTCAGCCGGCAAAACTACAATCCCGCAGACCACCGCCCAAACCCGCAGGCTTCAGAACAAAGGAGGTTTTGCCCGGCGCCGGCTGAAATTTAAGGCGTCAGGGTTTTCCAGGTATTCTATTGATATATTAATATAATATTAATATATTAATATAATATTAATATATTAATGTATTAATATATTAATATATTAATATATTAATATATTAATATATTAATATTAATTATATATATTAAATATATTAATATTAATATTAGTTAATTATATTAATAATATATTGTAAATATATCAATAATACTAATATATTAATATATTAATATATTAATATATAAATATTTAATATCATTTAATATAGTAAGATATTAATATCTTAATATATGAATCTTTAATATATAGTATTTTAAATATATTTAATTATGAATTTATTAATATATTATATTAAGATCTTAATATATAATATATTAATCTATTAATATCTTACTATATTAATTACTATAATATAAATAGATTAATATATAATATATTAATATATTAATATATTAATAATATATTAATATATTAATATATTAATATATTAATATTATTAATATTATTAATATATATATATATATATATATAGGTTTATCTACACGCACATACATGTATGTATTATGTATGTATTATGTATGTATATGTATGTTTGTATGTATGTTTGTATGTATGTAATATTGTATGTGATATATATATATATATATATACTAATACATAGGGAGGTGGAAACCCGGTGGGCACCCTCTGGCTGTGTTAAGTGACATGGAACTCGCTCCCTTGGTGAAACAGGAGCACAGATGTTGACATGCTGCTACACCAAGTGCCCTAGATTTCAAGAATGCCTTTGAGGCGCTGCACTTCATGTCCGAGCAAAACAGTCTCCTCTTCTACGTCTTGAGCTCTGCTTAATTATGACAGCTTCTAGTTCTACAATCTCTTTCTTCAAGCAGATCAACAGGAGACCTTGCGCGTGCACGCTTACGCCTGTGCTGGACTTTGGAGGCGGCTCAGGAGAGGATGACGATGATGACCGCGGCCGCAGAGCCGAACTCTTTGAGGCTTGTTCTGGGGTCTTCGCGCTGGAGTCCCTGCTGGATAGTGTACTTGCAGTTGTGCTACGACGCGGCGTTGCCAACCGGCTGTTTAACAACTCTGTAGCTTCTGCAGACCAACCACCCGTAGCGGAAGTCTCAAGACGGAGCTGTCGCGCTGTGTTGCTAATCTGCACTTGCAGGGCTCGCACCGCGATATTCTCCCTGGAGGGATCCACCAACTGTACTTTGTTTCGAACATCACGGAGCGTGTGTTTAGCATTCAGTGGCTTCGTCTGGGTAGAGGGGAGCTGGTGGAAGGCTCTTGCACTGGCAGCAGTTCTAGCAGCACCTTACCATTACCAACCGAACGCACATGTCCAACGACCGGGAGCGAGGCCATTGGAGTAAGCACACTAGTCAGTAGTGAAACACTTGAGCTGTAGTTACAAGGGTATGCACGGAAAGGTACATGTGCACATGTACCTAACAGTGCAGACTTGGTTATACACGTGCTGGCATGTACGGCATGCACGCGCAAGCAGTGGTTTTCCGCGGGATCGCATCATGAGCTCTCTCGAGGTTCTTGTGGCAGTCCAGAACATCAAAATTTGGCCGGCTTGCGGGCGTTCCAGACACGGTGGCTCCTACCTACGGCTGCTCGGCCGCCTGCGAATTGCGACAGGCTTCTTTACCATGCGAGCCTTGACACTGCGGCCGCGAATGTGGGCAGAGGAGCCAGATTTGTGTTATAAAACACACAGGCTTCCTCAATCCAGCTTGCATGGCTGTGGGGCCGAAACGGAGTGACGAAAAACTTCAAAGGCCGGATCCAAGCATGGAAGCTGTCGGACATGTTTGTCCGCACCCTGTTGCAGCGTCGCTTCTGCGACACGGTCAGTTCCGCTTACTGCATCCACTATGTAGTGTTTGACACTAGGGAAACTGTCAGGATGATGCTTTCGGGCATAGGCCTCCAAGTGACACGCGTCATGGATCACGACATTCGGAGCAAATGGCGGAATTGCCAAAGGTCCATGTAACAAGCGAACCTCGTCCCCATCAGACTCGCTGGCTTTGTGCTCCAAAGCCGCCAGCACTTTTCTGGATGAGGGATTCATTGCGAACTGACATCCCGCAGTCCGCTTTGGAAGTGACACGTGGCGAAAATCCTTTCTGGCGCAGCTGCACGATCGCCCATCCCCGCGAAGAGCTTTCCGCGGTCGTCCTGGCAATTGTACTGTTTGGTCCGGGGAGGGTCGATGCCTGGAGCAAGATGACGAATTCCCATTCATGGCCCCTTCTCGCACGGTTCTTTTCGCCACAGCATAGGCCTCGCAAAAGGCAATCACGAAAGGTTCGATGATCTGGAGATCGTCATGTCCTTGAGGAAGAAGAGCCCGGACCGCAGCCTCCTGTCCTGGGAATGTTTCCGCGCGAAAAAGTCGAAGATAGCAAAGTTCGAGGTAGGTCATGGTGAAGGCTGTTCTTGGAGGTCACGAAATATAAACCAGCCGCTTTCATTTGAATTGAAGCAGAGCAAGTTGATCTTTTCCCCGGCGATCCGCATGTAGTTGTGACGAATGTGAATATTATATAATTTTTTTCCAGGAGACTAGTCCCCCAGATTTTTTTTTTTGTTTTGTTTGTGTGGTATTTGTGTTTGTGTCGTGTTTTTTTGTTTTTTCTTTTGGTAGCTTAAAGGCTGCTATGCCGCCTAGGGTCTTATGTCCAGTATGGGGACGAGGCTATTTTGAAGCAACGCGCATGTTTTAAAGTAATGCTCCTGTGCTCCTACGGGCCGACGTGCAAGGATCATAGGACACAACAAGGGCTTTGGGAGACGTAAAACAGCCAAGAGGGAGCCTACCGGGTTTCCCACTCCCTCCCTCCCTCTCCATCTCCCTCTCCCTCTCCCTCTCGCTCTCTCTCTCGCTCTCTCGCGCTCTCCCTCTCTGTCTCTGTCTCTCTCTCTCTCTCTCTCTCTCTCTCTCTCTCTCTCTCTCTCTCTCTCTCTCTCTCTCTCTCTCTCTCTCTCTCTCTCTCTCTCTCTGTCTACATTTATATATATATATATATACACAATTTGTATATATATATGTATACATTACAGGGTTCTGGCGAAAGCATGTGACCGCCCGGTTGCTGAAGCCGAGCCCCTGCACTTCAAACTGCAATGCCGCAGACGACCGCCCGCCTTAAACCATGAAAGAACACTAAACTGCGTAGGGCCGTAATCAAGTGCCGCAAAAAGCCTTAGCTCTTCTTGGTTATGATGTTTTTGACTTACTGGGTGCTCTGGTCGTTCAAACATGGGCCTGAACCAAAGCTCGAGAGAGTCAAGCGAACGCAGTCAACGAAGACCCCTCATAGAATACTTTACAACCTGTCTTAACTGTGTGCTTCATGTATAAAAATACTTCGTTATGTATACATACATATATTTATATATACACATAAACGTTTATACGTACATACATACACGCATAAACAAATACGTGCATACAGACATACATGCAGACAGACATACAGACGGACATGCAGACAGACAGACAGACAGAAAGACAGACAGACAGACAGACAGACAGACAGACAGGCATACAGGCATACATCCATCCATCAGTCCATACATACACACATGCAGATATATATATATATACACACACACATATACATATACATATACATATACATATACATATGCATATGCATATGCATATACATATACATATACATATACATATACATATACATACCCATATGCATATACATATACATATACATATACATATACATATACACATACACATACACATACATATACATATACATATACATATACATATACATATACATATACATATACATGTACGTATGTATGTATGTTCGTATGTATGTATGTTTCACGGACGACAGGACGATCTTAGTGCCACCCATACTACATGTCAGCCCAGACGCGACTGAGGTCCTGATGCAAGCGAGCAAAATCTTCTCGGAAGCGCACTTCCGTCTGGTGTAGCGCGGCCTGGCTTGTAGGTGCCAGGGTCATCCAGGAACTGGGACTGATGGTCAAGGGTTTAGGGTTTAGGGGTTTAGGGTTTAGTATTTAAATTAATTATTGCGGGCTTACGGGTTTAGGGTGGGTTTAGGGAACATCGTATAAATCCTGCAACTGGAAGGCGCCTTGCTTTCTAAGGCTCCTGTCGGCTATCAGGGCTTAGCGGCTTAAGGGATTTAATGTGAATAACCAAAGGGCACAGGGAGGGACCCTTAATGGGGATCCCTACCCTATAACGGGCTATATAATGAGAATATAGTAGCTGTATTAAGATCATATACCTACGGGTCGATATTAAGGGTGCCTCCTTTCATCCTCAAAAATTACCATTATAAGCTTTTAGGAAACCATACTATTTACTATAGATCCCTTTTAGGGTAGCTTGAACTCCTTAACAAGAACCCAGTCATGGCTGTAGGGATTCGGGGTTTGGGCTTTTGGGAGTTGCTGGTGAGGATCTGAGCAGTTGGGGGGGGGGGGGGGAAGGGGGCACGGGGGCAGGGCCTTTAGGGGTCTATAAAGGTACTATACTGTAGAGGAAGCCTCGGGTCTTTATTTGGGTTCCTTACACTTAAAGGATCCTGGGACTTAGTAATTGGGGATATAAGTAAGGTAACTACACTTATGATTACTTATAACCCTAATTGGGTACTTATAACCATACTTACTAAGTCCCATGATCCTCCAAGTATGAATCCTGCATTTTTGGGGTGAGCCAGTCCCAACTCACACCGGTCCCTGTCATCTGCCAGCCTGGGGCCCAGACGATTTTGGGGGTCTGGGGTTAGGGTTTAGGCTTTAGGGTCTAAGGGTTTGGGGGTTTAGGGTTTAAGGGTTTAGCCCCCAGGCCAAACCCAAAAAAACACAGAAAGGCGTCACGCAGACTTGGAATAAAATCAACAAACCGGGCGTTGTACTTGGTCTGAAACCGCTGTACTCCTCGGCGAAGGCTCCACATGACCAACAGCCCCAAAACCTTGGGCCCTGTACCCTAGAGCCCCGCAACCCTAAACCCTAAACCCCAAACGCAGCAACCCTCAAGCCTCAACCCTCCCTAAACCCTGAACCCCCAAACCCAAACCCCAAAGCCCTAAACCCCAACTCAAAATCACTAAACCCCTTAATCCTCGATCCTTCTTAAAAGGGCTAAACCCTCAACCCTCCCTCAACCCCTAAAAGCCTGAAGCCTAAAAAGCCCGGCCTGTACCGACTCGATGAGGAAGGAATTAACAGCTTCGAAGCCACCTGGGTAGTTCTCTCCAGATTCGGGTCCCTTTTAGAGTCCTTCGGCTGATGGTATAAATCCTGCATGACCTTAAGGACCCTAAACTATGCTGGTTCCGGAACTAGTAACGAGGGGTAGGGTTCAGGGTCTAGGGCTTCGGGGTTATAGAGTTCATTGTTTAGGGTTTGAGGTATGTTAGGATTTTGAGGGCTTGGTCTAGAAGTGTGATGCACGCATCCAAGCTGTCTCGCACCTGCACCCCGTGTGCCGCATGAATCATGAACCATCGGCCTTGAAGGTGCTTTGGATGTAGATGGGAGTTTCCGAAAAATTCGGTGTACCTTTTTTGAGGGTCCCTATAATAAGAATCCTACTATTTAGGGTACTATATTAGGGTCCCCTATTTTCGGAAACTCCCAAATCGCCCTCTTCGGTAATCTTGTAGCGAGCTCCTCCGCCCCAGGCATTTCCTCGTCCGATGGCGGAGCCGGCAATGATTGCTTCGGCTGTCCTCCCATGCTGTGCGAAGCTATTTAGGGTTTAGGGTGGTTTAGGGTTTAGGGTTTTACATCTAAAGCAGGCAGAGCACTTTGCTCCCGCATCGTCATTCCGAAAGATGCTGTGCTTTCGAGTTCCTTATACGGTGCTAACTTTATGGGACAATGCGGGTCCATTGTTACTTGTTACTACCGACGTCGACCACCATATTAACTTCTAGCCGGCAACACTGCAACACAAAAGCCCAACGCTAAGGCCAAACATGCAAAACATCACTTAAACCACATCTAATTCGTTTTTCTTGCTTGGTTGAGGGTGGGGGCTAAAGGGGTTAGGGCATAGGGTTTAAGATTTGGCTCAATGGTTTAGGCCCCCTACGCCCTTTTCTAGCCGCCAACCCGCAAGCACCAAACCCTAAACTAGACCCACAAATCTAAACCCTAAACCCTGAACTACATCCTTGCCCAACTTGCACCCCGAGGATCAAAAAGACTGGCGACGAGAACCCTGAACCTCAAACCCTGGACAACTAAACCCTATAAATCCCTAAACCCCTTAACGCCCGAATCTTAACCGCAGTAAAGAAGTATCCGGGCCTTAATGATGAGAAGAGGGCTGAAGTCAAGGGTTTCCTTTAAAGGGGTCTATCAGGGTTCGGCTGCAGGAGTTTTCTATTCATCATCAAGATAAACCTACCTCCCAAAGCACACAGCCCATAAACTGGAGCTCCTTATCTATATAATATCAAAACGGATAAACGTTGCTTGAAGCCCTACATACTCTACTCCATAATGCCTGATAAGCCCCACACCAACCCAAAGCACATAAGCAAAAATTAGGATAGGGATATCCCATATAAATCCCGTTGTAATGAAGCCCAATAAGGTAGGGATATCCCCATAAATGAAATGCTTATGCTTATGCTTATGTGCTTTTGGGGTCCCTAAAACCCATAAGCCCCATGGCTCTATTGTTTCAAGCGGCCTGGGTGATTCGCCACTGCTTCGTCAATGATGCGCTTGTCGTGGGGACAGCTAGCCTTCGGTTTAGGGTTTGGGGTTTAGGGCTTTGGGGTTTCAGGGTTTTGGTTTTGGGGTTTTGGGTTTAGGGGTTTAGGGATTAGGGGTTTAGGAAGTAGGGATTTGGGCTTGAGTCCCTGCACCCCGAAAACCCCTAAACTCGCAGCCCTAGACAACCGAGTAACCCTATAGATCCCTTGTGGATCCCTCTCGTACCCTTACAGTACCCCTTTATAACTGTTATCTAAGAGCTCTGTGCGCAACACACCCTTGTATTGGGGTTATACCCAATCATATCTGTAGTTACTTTATTTATGACACCAATTGCTAGGTCTCATGATATTTTGAGCATTAGATCCCACACCCAAGAGCACTGCCTTATACTTGAAAGGGCCACGGTTCAGGGCTTAGGGTTTAGAATATACCAGAACTAACGCAGTGTCCTTCAATCAAACCAGCCTGAGCAATTCGGGTGTCAATGCGCTATGTAGCAGGCTCACCTTTACGCCCTAAGCCCTGAACCCTCAAGTTAAATCCATGAAAGCGCAACCGTGGAATCCAGGCTTGCCCCAAGACCTGCAGAAAACACCAACAAGTATCCTTGCAAAGAAACCCTCAAAACGACAAGCCTGGGCATCTTGGAGGCGCAAGGTGGACAGTTTCTTGCCTTGTGCTGATGGCCAAGGATCTCAGATGTAGGGTTTAGGGTCAACGGCTCAAGGTTGAGGGTTCGGGGGTCCCTGACTTAGACTCGCAGTTGATTCCTGTAGAGCTCTTGGCTTCGACAGCAGTCCATGTTCTGGTCGGCCTTTTTTATAGGTGAATGTGGAGCACCAGCCGCCATAATTGTGAAAGCTATGGTAGTGGCACCGTTAACCGGTTTCTTGCACTGGAGGTGTGGTCGAGGCTTCTTAAAGGATCATGGGACTTAGTAATCGGTGTTAGTAGTAAGGTAACTCAGTTATAATTACTTTTAACCCCAATTAAGGTACTCATAACCCTACTTTCTAAGTCCCATGAACCTCCAAGTATCCGTATAGAAACCCCCTAAACCCTAAACCCTTATGGTACCCCGTTTAGATCCCTTTTAAGGAACCCCTTTAAGGAGCCCCTACTTACGAAGTCCCATGATCCTTAAACCCTAAACCCTATAGATCTCTTATAGATCCTTTTAAGGAACCCTTAACCCTTATAGTACCCCTATAGATCCCTTAAAGGGACCCTACTTGCTAAGTCCCATGATCCTTTAAGTGGCGCCCCCTTTGGAGTCGTTAGACTGCGGGCTCACACCTAGAGTCTCCATTGTAGTTCCTTTTTTGGTTAACCAGTTTTATGGTTAGGATCCTATAATAGAGCTTTTGGTCAACCAAAAAAAGGAACTACAATGGAGACTACAGGCAGGGTTTAGGGTTCTTCACAGTGAGGGGTCCGGCGGCTCTTTAGATGCAACAAAGCTCCCCAGAGTTCAGCCCCAAAGCTCCACAAAGGCTTACAATTAGTGTTGTGTTTTTTGAAAAAAAATTGCAGTCTTCGAAATCTTGAACCGAATAATGCGCCCTTTCTTGTGTGAGGAAGGCCGATTGTTACTAGACCCTGAACCGAGGCTTTGCGCCGCTACCTGCCGAATCTCTCTGATGAACTCCGGTGCCTGAAGCCGCAACATAAAACTCGAAGAATCCCAGTCTCAAAAGCACTTGGGTGGTTGTCAAAATTCGCGTCCCTTTTTGGGTCCGTATTATAGTACGGCACCTATATTTAGGGTACCCAAAAAGGGGCCATAATTTTGACAACTACCCACTTGGGTGTTGGGTTCAGTCATGGAGCTGCACTGGATTTTGCATCCTTTACAGCTTCTGTAGAACCGATGGGAAGATCAAGAAGAACATAGTGAACAGCAATCTCTACGAAACCAACCCGAAACCCGAAGCCATAAACCGCTAAACCTCAAGCCCTGAACCCTAAACCCTAAGCCTTAGCCTAAACCCTTTAAATAGCCTTGGTTGTATGCAGGCTGCTGATCTTCAATGCAAGATCGACGCTGCTCTGGCCGTAGTTCATGACACCCCTGAGCTGTCTTAGGGCTTTGGGGCTTTAGGGCTTAGGGTTTTAACACTTAGGACTTAGGGTTTATAGGGCTTTAGGGCTTTCGGGTTTGGGGTGGATGGAATTTTAGGGTTTAGAGCTTGCTTTTTGGTGTTTCACTGTTGCTCTAAGGGTTTGGGCTACGCAAGTGTTGCTGCTAGACGGACCCGAGCACTTCATCCTACAAGCCCAAAATCCCGACCCGAAGCAAGCCCCAAACCCAAAACCTCAACCCTAAACCCCAAACCCTAAACTTTAAACCCTAAACCCCAAACCACATGAATCCTAAACCCCGACAGCCCCCTTGAAAGCCTGGGGATCAAAAGAGCCCCAAAGCCTTATATAGTATGGTCTTTAGGCCCAAAAGCCTCAACAGATGATATGAGTCCTTAGAACGAATCCTAAACTCTAAACCCTAAACCCCACATATCCTAAATCCTAAACTCTAAACCCTAAACCCCACATATCTTAAATCCTAAACCCCCAAAAAGCCCCTTTTACTTCAAGCCCAGACGCGTGGAAGTTCCAAGGAGGAGTCCCTGGAAGTCGCGTCCTTCTCTGCTGAGCATCTCGGTCTGGAAGAGCTCAAAGAGACACCAGGACCTTAGGTTTATGGCTTAGGGTTTAGAGGGGTTTAGGGTTGAGGGTTTGTAGGGGGTTTAGGGGTTAGGGTTTGTAGGGGTTTAGGGTTTCGGGAAGAGCTCAAAGAGATACCAAGACCTTAGGTTCAGGGGTTTATTGCAGGGTCGGGTTTAGGGCTTGGAGATAAGAATTCAGTTTTTCGGGTTTCGGACACGGGCTTGTCTATAAAGCACTCTGATGTCATGTAACAAACAGCAAATCTATAAACCACTCTGATGTCATATAACAAAGAGCAAATGCACGATTTAGGGTGTGGGGTTTAGTTCAGTGAGCCTTGGGCTTGAATCGCAACGAAACCGAAAACTGACTGCTGAGGAGCACCCGGCTGTTGGGATTCCAAGGGTTTGGGCCCTCGGGTTTTGGCGTGTTGGAGTTTAGGTGATGGGTGTGTTAGTACATAAAGGCCTTATATTGCAACGGCCCAACCCAAAAACCTCTTAGAGCCCTTACCCGGAGGCCAATACCCCTTCATGAAATAGCATATGCCACTTCCTCATTTGAAAGGCATTGGCTCCCTGCTTCCACAAGAAGTTGAACCCCGCCACGCACTTGAACAAGCTCAAACAACGTGTCACACGAGGCTCGTGTTTAATCAACCCATAAACCCTAAACCCTCCCAAACCCCAGACCCCCAAACTGGTATTCACAGATTTCGTGATTCAAGGACAACTGGGGCAACCTTAGATAAGGACGTGTATACTCGGAACAGACTTCAAGAGGGTTTGGGTTTACGCCAAGTATACAAGGACAATGCCTACAAGTGGACAGTTTGATCAGTTATGCTGCCCTCTATGTCAGCCTGCTAGACCTCAAACATGATGGCCCCAAATATGTTACACCGAAGCCGTACCCAGAAAGCTGACATTGCTGACAACGGTTGACTCCCACACACGCAGATCTGTTTGGTAGACGAACGCTTGAGTGGATCGATGATACTGTCGCTAAGTCGGGATGGTGTAGCCGGGGGGCTGTGCAAAAAAAGAGACTACTGGCCCGGAGAAATGCATCAAACTACTCCAAGAACCTCGTGCTCCTTTTGCCTGTGCAAACCTCTGACCCACTCCCACTCGTTTGCCCACCCTCCCGAAAGCGGTGCCTCGTCAAGGGTAGCACCTCCTCATCGAGCACCACCAAGGTGCCCTGACACGAACTGCTCCGCAAAGCCAGGTAGAAGGACGAACACTGCACCTTCTGGTGTCTGGCTCAGACCGGCGCAGAGCACTTGGGTTTTGGGCTTATCAAGGCTCTTGACAGTTTGCATTTGTGTTGATGCGAATTTTTGTGCAAGCATCATTGACTTACATTTTTCAATATGTTTGCATGTTCACGCAATTCCGCGCAAATGCCCAACCGCCCAAAGCCAATCAATCTCTACCCGGATACTACCTCAACCCAAACCCTACACCCCAAATAAGCCTAACTCGCCACAATGCCGTCTAAACGACTTGCTACCTCAGACCATCGGTTTGGGACAGCGGTGCTTCCCAGGCCTATCGGCTGAAGCACCCCTTGCAGGGCTTCTGGGTCTCAGTTTAGGGTTTAGGTTTTGGGCTAACTAGAGCTTAGGCTTCAGGGTTTGAATATAGGGGTTTAGGAACACGGAACCTTACGACAAGACAACAGAAATTAGACTACCGCCGAATTACGTGCAGAAAACCTGAAGTGCTGGGTATTGGAGAGCCAACTGCAATCGCAAGCCAGCCCAACGAAGTTCCTAAAACAACTCTGCCGAGCGAGATCTGCATTGACTTCGCCCCCATGAAGCATGCACTATGTTGCTGAAACAGCTGTGCGACATTTGTCTCAGGAAACTCCATAACATTAATACATTAAAACTAACCAAAACCCGAAACCCTAAACCTCGACAACATACCCAATTCCTCAAGCCGTAAAATCCTAACGTGAACCCTGACGGCCCTCATTCCAAAGGCAGAAACCCTTATGCAACCGTGCAACATACCCACATCCACTCAAAACCCACAAACTCAAGCTGAACCACACTCAAATCTGTGGAGATAGGTTCCAGCCAAAACACCTCTTCACCCAGCTCTTCGGTCACCTTCCACTGGTTGTTTGCGAAAGTGCAGATCCAGTAGCTTGTCGTCCTGATGCTGGAACCAAACTCAACAGAAGGAGCTGTACTAGGTGTCGATGTCAACAGTCCCCAAAATCATCTATGACGAGCGCCCAAATCGGTCAATACGCTTCGTGGGTTCGGTGTTTACTGATCCGAGCTTCAACCATAGCCCCGTAACTCAGAATTTGTTATGCTTCTGTGCCTTGGCGGCCCCTATGGTAAGGTTACGGCTGTGGGACTTGACCCGGCGAATCAGTACGCCAGTCAGAATTAGCACCACCGCTGTTTCTATGTAGATCCTGTTCCACCAACACACGTAAACACCATCAGCACTTCTGCCGGGAATTCTGCGCTTACTTTAGAATAGAAACCTTAAACCTGAACCCAAATGCCTAAATCCTGGACCCCTAAACCCTAAACCCTGCATCCTGAATCCTGAAACCTATAATCCGGCCGCTCCACGGCATCCGAGAATCCGGTCCGCAGCGTGCCCCTTCAAGCACTCGACGAAGTGCTGGAATGGCATGCCCCAGTAATGAGAAACGAACCAGGACACCTCAGCAAGGGGCATAATAACTAAAACTGAGTTTGGGGAAGGCATTCTACGACTGCAACTAAGCCAACAAACCTTCGAAAACAACTGATTATTCAGGCCCAGATCTTAGCGAAGGAACGCGCCACAAAAGTGCTGGTTTAACCCTATGAAATGTGCCTACGCGTATATCCCCAAAGCCACTCGAACATACCTGCCCCAAGAACCCCAAAAATCAGCTGCGAAAACCCCTCGAAAACCGCCCTATAGTACCGTAGAAGCCCTTCTCAAACCTCGCATAGCAACAGAACCCTTAAGCCTACACCATGGTATACCTCCGGCTCATTATTGCAACCTGTGCCTTCTTCGGTTGAGCCAAATCACTGGGGAGGGCCCAGCCAACTCTGCGTAGGACAACCGGTCTCGGGCAGTCAATGGCTTGACGATGTTGCTGCACAGGTAGTACATGTTCCTCCGGGTTTTGGATGGCCCAAGGTCCAAACAAACAAGGAAGAGGCCTGGGGAGTTTAATGACTATACCGCGACACACACCCAACAGTTATATGTATGTGTCGATGAATATGTGTATGTGTACCGTGGGATGACACTGTATAATGTGAAACCACGTATGACGTATAACGTATGATGTATAGTGCATGGTGTATAATGTATACAATAAAATGTACAGTATGAGAATACACTGTATAGTTATTAATTTATAATGTACAATATATAAGATACAATGTAACACAATGTACGTGCGTAAACCTATGTGCACATGCAGATGTATACTATGTCTATGTAATTACAAGCCAAAATGTATGTATATGTATATGTAATGGATGTGGATATGGATATGTATGAGAATGTGTATGTGTATGCATATGTGTATGTGTATGTGTAGGTATATGTACATGTTTATGTGCATGTATGGGTATGTGTATGTGTATGTGTATGTATATGTATATGTATATGTATATGTGTATATGTATATGTATATGTATATGTATATGTATATGTATACCTATATGTATATGTATATGTATACAGTAGAAGCCAGAAAGTTGGAACATGGCTTTAGGAGGATTGCTGCCAGGATCCTCTATACTTTACCTTAAGGGCATGAGGAGTCTGATGTTCCAACTTTCTGGCTTCTACCATAAGTATATGTATATGTATATGTATGTGTATGTGTATGTGTATATGTATTTGTATATGTATATGTATATGTATAAGTATATGTATAAGTATAAGTGTATGTGTATGTATATGTATATGTATATGTATATGTATATGTATAGGTATAGGTATAGGTATAGGTATAGGTATAGGTATATGTATATGTATATGTATATGTATATGTGTGTATATGTGCAAGTATATGTTAAACGGTGATGCATGCGTATATGTATACGGATGTGTATACGTACATGTAAAGTAAGTGTACATGTATATGTATATGTATATGTAAAAATGTATGCATATGTGTATGTGTGTGTATGTATATGTATAAGTACATGTAATTGTGCATGGATATGGATATGACTATGCATATTTATATGGATATGTGCATGTATATGTTTATGTTCATGTCTATGTGTACAGGTAGATGTCTATGCAGATGTATATTTACATGCATATGCGTATGGTCCCGGCTCGGCCCCTCCCCTTCCTGCCCAATGGTATCCACTCAGGCTGAACCCTGACTCCGAAGCTCAAGGCCAGGCCCAAACCGCTCCACCAACCATCATGTGATGCAGCCGTGCTTAACTCTAAATTCTGTGATAGAAATCCTACAGCAGCCACCAACTTCTCGGCTTCCAGAATTGATTCGCAGCACTGAAGCCCGTAGTCCGCTAGTACATGTGGGGAAGCAACGATCCGTGTCGCTGAATCCCACCACTTAAGGACAAAACATTTTTGGATGCACCATGAAGCGGGGGCAGCCATTCTGGCAGCGGTCCCGAATCCGTGCAAATGAAGTTTGGCCGTGGTCCAGAACCCTCCAGTCCTTGAGACTTGCCAGTGCTTGCACTTATCTTGATAGCTTTTGGTTAGTTTCTTGGGTCTCTTGGTGGTCTTGTGGTGGTTGTCGTGGTCGCCTGGGTCGTAGATCAAGCTTGGGGCGCTTACGTGGGGGCTCAATCATCCGGGTCTCAACATGCAAGCTAGGCTCTGGCTACGGCAGCCGCGCAACTAAAGGGCTACGGCATGGGCAAAAAAAGCGCTCGATTTCAGTCTTTGTTCTAAAGCCGCTTTGAGGACTGTTCGCCAATGTGACGAGTTCACGTTCGGTGGGCTAATCACCTCCAAACTGGCAGATGTGGCATCCCCCAAAAAGTCCTTTACTGTACCGGCAGGCTTGGCTGTAAGAGCCCTGCTGATCCCGAGAATGTGAGATCAGTGGGTCTGCGGTACCCCAGGCACTTTGCATACGCCTGGAAGACAGTCTCTAACGACGCACTCGTCGGCACCTTTATCTGCTTAGTCACGGCCGAGTACGACACGGTATGAAGCACACACTCTGTGGCCATGCATACACCGACAGTCAAAGGAGAGTCTTCATATACGGTGTTTGGCCCCTGAGCGAGCAAGCAACGCGAGGGATATGACATATCCTTCAAGGATTGAGCCGGTCAGCTGCCGCATGAGGGGCAGTCTGGGGCAGGTGGGAAGGCGAGACGGCTCCTCAGCTTGCGTGCAGGCGGGGAGGGCGAAAGGATTTAGTGGCTGCGACTATATCGTTTTGGCTTTTCGGGGGAAGGGCATCTTCCTCTAGACTAGCATGACTACCAGAGCCATCTAAACCCGTCTCTCAACAATGTAGGCCTTCTGTGATCATAGGCCAGGGTCTTGGGCAACGGCTGGGAAATGCAGTGGGTCACAAAACTTTTCAAGTTGAGGGGGTTTCCTAACCCTCGGGTAAAAGGCAAGCGGTTGTCAACTTCCGAAACCAAGGCTGTGGGACCTGAAGCTCCCCAAGCCATGACTTTGATTTCAGGACAGAAGTTGCTCATTGCGGAAGCCTCGCAAAGCCCTCCAAAACAAACCGCAAATCCAAAGCATAAAACCCACAAGTCGAAGAGATAAACACAAACTTCGAATGCATGGAAATCACTGCGAATGTACGTAGTTGTTATTCACATGCAAAGACCGGCTGGCTGCAAGCGGTTCTGGACGGAACGTGCAGATGTGCAGCATTTTTCGCTGTTGTCAGACCAATTGCGGGATTCCGGCTAGGTAGGATGCCTGGAAAGCAGTGGCCGCTGCCAATTTTCGCGTGGCCACTAATTCGTTTCCCCCCTTCACCCCCGCACCCCACACCCGCCTGCCCAAGATGCCGGGCCAGCATGATGTAGGCGGGCGACCACTTGCTAGGTTTGTTCAATATCCACACCGGCTCACATAGTAGCAAGCGCCTGATGCCCGCGGCGTCCAGAAGCGTCGGAGACGCCAGTTTACACGCCAAGCTGCCCACTTCTACGGTTGACTGGACAGCCGACCGAAGCCGCCGAAGCCGGCAAGCTTGGTTTGCACTACTATTACAAGTAGCACCAAAGGGCCGGAAGTGCAGCAAGAGAGAGACAGCCTGCCAATCTACTGTGATACCATGCAGCCAACATCCGAAAAAATGTCCACGCGCTGGGCTTGGCCACATGTCAATTTCCAGGGACACCATCGGAAGAGGCGTGGTGAGCTTCTTCAGAACAGAGGCTTTGCGTCGATTCGCCTCGTAGCCATCAGCCAGGAAACGACGGACAATCCTGCCAGGAGGCGGCGGCTCCCTGGGGTTCAGAAGCGTCAGTACATCCCGCAAGTTCTCCCACATGCGCATGGGATACAAGTTCACTGCTGTTGCCAGGGACATAGCACGATAGTACTTGTTCAGCTCGTTTTGGCCATATCTCGCGATGGTAGTGCACTGGTTTTGGTTCTTGTCGCCCGTGTCCGTGGGCTTGTGGAGAAAAATCCCATGCATCTGTTCCAGGTGCTACAAAATGTTGATAGTAGACTTAGTCGAAGGTCATCGATTCCGCTTCAGAATGCCTTTCCTGTTCCGCAAGCTCTCGCCCACCTCTGCCGGACAGCAGATCGTGCAGCACACAATCTGCGGATCATCATGGAGCGCGATATGGTCCCAACATGGGAGCCGTGCATGCCGGACCGGAGAAGTTCAACCGCTGCGAATGTCCTGCAGCAGCTGTTCCTTCAAACAGCAAGATAAGCTCTCCGGCATTCTGTGGCATTTCTTTCTCCATATTAATTATATGTATGTAATGTATGCATGTGTGTATGTATGCATGCATGCATGCATGTATGTATCTATGTATCTGTGTATCTGTGTGAACGGGCGTGTGCGCACGCGCGTACGTACATAAATGTGTATACGTACATACGCCGACACCTTTGAGATCCCCGTCTGACACCAGCAGCCTGTCCTCTGATGACCGATGTAGGCGCTGAAGAAATCCTGTTGCCGCCAGACAGGTTGGAACTCTGAAAATGTAAGTTTTGATACCAATAGTAAGAGCCAACATTAAACCCTAAACCCTAAACCCCATTACGAGCAGTACTGCATACATCCGCAAGATAGGAATCTTCACTCCCCTGGCCCCTCGTTTCAATGACGATTTCTGAACCTTGCGCTTGTAACTAGCTAGTTAAGCAGCACCCAGAGGGTCCATATACACCACCATCATGGAATCAGGTCCCAAACGACCATCCCTATTATGGTTTCGAAACCCTAATTCCATAATAGTAGTATAAATTGACCCTCTGGGGTATGAAGACTGCAGACCCTGAAGAACTGAAACATGCTGAAACCAAACTGAAATATACGGGCGAAGAAGAACTGGGACAAAGCCACCGCTCAACACCCAAACCAGGCCAGAACCTTACCCCATTCGATAGGGGTCTGAATGACTAGAACAAGACTTAGGGTATATCGGAAAATCACAGTTGTGCAGAGATTGTGCAGGAAGATCGCTAGTGACTACTCAAAACATGGCAAACTCTGCAGCAATTCCTGAACTCTAAAGACAAAAACCGTGACCGTGAACCACTTAACCGTGCCATCAAAAACCGTTGCTCTTGGTGCGGCATGGGTCGTAAAGATCTTGAATTTTGCCCAATCCAAGTCCTGGCCACAAGTGATGTCAGCCGAAGCAGAGGTCGAAGGTTTAAGTCGCTACCCCTTTTTAGAAGATAAGCAGCAATATGTTGCCTTCAAACCCCTACGACATGAAAATCGAGACTCTAGCCCAAAAACACAAAACTCAACGACACACCGCCTAAGCAACGTCTGAAGAGACCTGCGAAGGGGCGGGTTCATGTGGATCCAGCGGCCGCCTTTAGTTTCAGGGTCGTAAGATTACGATTGAGGCTGCGAGGCTACCGGAGTGAGGCATTGAGGGCTGAAGTCGGACCCCAGTCTACGGTGGGGCTTGCGGAGAGTGCTACTACTGCTAATGCTACTACTCCTCCTCCTCCTCCTCCTCCTCCTCCTGCTGCTGCTGCTGCTGCTACCGCTACGGCTACGGCTACTGCTAGTGCTACTGGCGCCGCGAAGACAACTTCTACCCGCCACCAACTAAGAACTAACTATTCCTTAAATCTCAACTCCCCAACCTGGAACGGTCTCCCTACTTTTGGGGCCTTATAATAATTAATCAGATAAGGTTTTGGTGGTATAATTGATTAGAAAAGGTTTCTGGGGTATATTATACTACAATTATAGTAAGGAACCCCCAACATAGTATTGGTAACCTGTGTAAAACCGTACAAACCCTAAACCCCAAGCCGCAAAGATCTGCCCCCATGGTCTCCTCTTTCTGGGCCTTTGGGGCAAGGAAAAGGTCGGTGGAAGCGCAGCCGTGCAGCAAAGAGTTTGCGATCTCGAGTCAAATCACAGGTGGTCCTGTGCCGTTCCGAGGGTATGGAGTGCAGGGTAGAGGTTTAGAGAGTAGGCTCAGGGGTAATTATAAGGTATGTATTCTATCCATTTCAAGGTTTCGGGAGTCTTGGGAGTGTAGGGTTCGGGACGAAGTGGGACGGAGGTTTAGGGCGGGGTTTAGGGTTTAGGAGCCGGGTTGAGGTTTTACGGCTACTGCGTAAGGTGAAGTGCTCCTAGCATCCCGGAACAAAGCACGAACAAAATCGGAAATTGGATCTCCAACCTCTTGGAAGACAGTAGGCTTAGGGTTTAGGGGTTCAGGGGTTCTACAAGGGTTTAGGATTATCCTGTCTGGTACACTAAATCCTAAACCCTAAACCCTAAAACCCTAAACCCTAAAGCCTAAAACCCTAAAAACCCTAAAACCCTAAAACCCTAAAACCCTAAGACCCTAAACCCTAAGACCCTAAACCCTATTACACTAGTGTCGCTGAAATGCTGCATAGAAGCGGGTGGGTCCACCTGTGGACCAAGGCGGCGAGAAGCAGACCTGGCCCATTGCTCGGATAACCCTACTTGGAGGGGCAGGGGACTTAGTAAGGGCTCTTAAAGGGCTCCTTAAAGGGATCTATAGGGTTCCTTAAAGGGATCTATGGGGTTTAGGGTTTAGGGTCTACTTGGAGGGGCAGGGGACTTGGTAAGGTTAGAAGTAGGGTTATAGTTTTGGGTATCCCCATTTTGGGTACTTATGACTCTACTTGTAACCTACTTACTAAGTCCCGCGCCCCTCCAAGTAGGGTTCCTTTATAGGCTTCCTTTTAGTTAAAGGGGCTTGGAATGTCTACTATAAGGGATCTATAACCCATTGTTCAGATATCCCTAAAACCCCAACCCCAACACCTTGAATCTTGAGCCTAAACTCTGAATCTTAAACCCTAAACCTTTAACCCTAAACCCTGAATCTTAAATTTATGGGTAGTTATAAGTGGGCCTATAATTGGGGTAACTATAGTTCTAACCCATAGTAAGGGACTTATAACTCCATTTATCACGACCCATGAACCTCCAAGTACAGTCTCCATTGTAGTTCCCCTTTTGGTTTAACCAGTTTTGTGTTTAGGATCCCAAGAGGGTATCCCAACACAGGAATTACAACGGAGACTGTAGGTAGTCTGGGTACTGCCCCTATTATTCAACTGCTACTGAATGGGGGCAGTATCCACAGTATAGCTAAGTTTAGGAAGCCTATGGTATAATGCTAGCGATTCTTCAGTCTTCTATATCACCCCCTTTACTGCGGAAGATTCCTCAAAACATAGAAGGATCCACGATGGTGGCATCCAAAGGCGAAACAAATGATTCCTTCGGAAAGCTCATGATTCCGCAGGCCAAAGAACGTAGATACTTAAAGGATGATGGGACTTAGTAATTGGGGTTATAAGTAAGGTAACTACAGTTATAATTAGTTATATCCCCAATAAAGGTACTTATAATCCTACTTACCAAGTCCCATGATCCCCCAAGTACAGTACTCACAGTGGGCCTCCTTGCTCGCCTAACTGTGAAGCCCGAAGAAACCCTAAACTTGACCTAGGGATCTAAGGACTCATATGTTAAGGCGTTTGGGCCCAAAGACCATACTACGGCTGATGATATAAGTCCTGCATTACCTTAAGGACCCCGAAGTATGAGAATTGTGGTATGTTCCAAATTGTGGCTAATGCAGGATTTGTATCATCAACAGTAGGGATCCAAGGACTCATGTATTCAGGCGTTTGGCCCAAAGACCATACTATATGAGGCTTTTGGGCTATTTTGATGCCCAGCCCTACACCCTAAACAACAAGACCAATCCATGAAGCCTTACATGCCCTTTGCACTCCTAGTCTCAAGCCCACAAAACCCGTTGCCCCCTAATAAGTCCTATTCCGCAAGCTAACATAATTCTACTCCAAAGCTAAGCCCACCAGCTAGGCAGTAAACTCCTCACCCGAACTTGATTCCGTTGATCCCTGTGTCTAGCAGCCTGTCAGGGCCATGATTGCATCGAAAGCTACGACGCCCAGGAGGAAGAAGGTGGTCGCCAAGAGGATCGAAAGCAGCCAAAGGCACAGGAGGAAAGGAACTCCGAAGACACCCCTGCAAAAGCTGGCGGCAGGATTTGGCTTCAAGTTTGGGCGTTAGGCTCGGGGTTTATTGTGAACAGGCCTTTGGGCTTAGGGCAAACCCAACACCAGGTACACGCGAACCCCTAACTTAAGCAACATTCGGAAGTAGCAGTGCTCCTTGGCACCCTAGAGCCTAAGGTCTCAGGCCCTAAACTCATTGGCAAAAAGCTCGCAGGGCGGGCCAGGGGTGGGGGTGGGGGATGGATCACGCTGAAGGCCGGGTGGCGCCTCGTTTGTGGTTGGTTTTCGGCTTCAGGCTTCCGGATCTCATTTGAGGAGCCCGAACTAAATCATGGGGTTTGGGGTTTGGGTTTAGGGTTTAGGGTTTAAGGGTTTAGGGTTTAGGGTTAGCCACCTTGGGGCTACAAGAAACTTACCTTTGGTTAGTAGGGAATGGAGGAATGGGGTACAATTATAAATACTATTACTACCATTCTTCCATGCCCCACTAACCAAAGGTAAGGAAAGGGGTAAGATGGGCAGGCTGTCGAAGTTTACGGCCCTTGTAGGGTTCTCATGCAAGTGAAGGAGAGGTCAAATGGGTACTTTGAGCTTTGAGCAGAAACCAGGTCTATGAGCACCATCTGTGAACCTTGCTCCTGCCCCAAGCCTTAAAGCCCATAAAGTGACTTCGACCTAGGATCCAGAGGTTTAAGGGCCCAAGGCCTTTCCAGTGAAGCCCCTTGCTTACTAGGATTTGGGGTTCAGGGTTTAGTCCAAGCCCGAGAAGCGTTTGAAGCTCAACTGTTTGTTGGTTGCTGTGTCGACTCGAGGTGTTCGCTTGAGGTTCTATGGCGTAATTACACCCTAACCGGTAGGTCGCGGCAGCCACCTGAGAGTTAAGAGGTTCCTCTCCAGCTGTTCAAAATGCTTTGACTGTGAAGGTTCTAAACCAGATAACATTTGGATTCTACTTTTTAGGGTCTGGGTTGTACGGCAAAGGTCTAGCTCAACCTTTGCCCAAGAATCGACACCCTGATCTGCATCGGACACAGTCGCCTTCGCAGCAGGTTGTCGCCACGGTGTATTTGGCAGGTGCCCTGGGACGCATCGGCTGCGAGCGCCAGTGGGACACCTCGCCGGCACTCAATCCTAGTTGTTGCGCTTTCTGACCGAAAACGCGCAACGCTTCCACACAATTTCATGCATGCATACATACATACGTATACAACAAGGCCGCGAACCGAACCGCAAACCGGAACCGAAACGCAGGGAACCGTCCACCTCTGTGAACCGCAAAAACCGCGAACCGCTGAACCGACAGCGAACCGAACCGCATTTAGCCAACCGACTCCATCCACCAGACCTCCATCCAGCCAACCCCCCTCACCATCCACCAGCCCTCCATCCAGCCAACCGGTATATACAGACATATACATAGATACATACATGCATACATATATATATATATATATATATATGCCTACATGCCTACATGTATAGAAGTTGTGCTTCTGTACATAGACCCTACGGCTCGACGATCGCATTGTCAGCTGCGAAGTGCTGGTGTCTAACGGTACACATCGATGTCAATCATGAGAGAATACCACGATAGGGCTGTTTTGGGGTTTTGGTGTTTGTGGGTTGAGACCCTAAACCTTAAACCCTAAACCCGGAATGTTCGATCTTTTAACTTTTAACTCAATCATCTGTTGTAGGAGCTTGCAGCACTGCTTCCGGCTACTCGTCATGCATTCGCTGTGAAGTGGCCAATGGGTTCAGGCCTCGCATGATTAGCTGCCTTTAAAAGGGATATATTGTCTATCTGTTCTGCAATGGGTGTTGAATAAACATTGACATGCATCGTAGTCCCTTTATGGATGTTCGGGGTCCCATTTCGAGATGTCGAACCTGACCTAGACCCCACATTGCCGTGGGATTCTCAATGTAAGGATTTTCTCAGGATCGTAGCCCTTGTTTGAAGAAACTGCCTTTTCTCTTCTCAATAGAAACGACTCCGCAGCCTTAAACCTCCAAACCGTAAACCCTAAACCCCTAAACCCTAGACAACCCTAAACCTTAAACCCTAGACTGTAGCCCCATCTTTATAGGAAGATCTCATTTATCATGGGAGTTAGGATTCGGGGGAGCCTTGGGGATCTAGACCCTCTGAAAAGGCCCCTTTTAAGAGAGCCGGAAGTAGGGTTCAGAAGGGGTACCCTTTAAGGGGTCCCCCTGATAATACTACCCGTATCAGCGCCTTGTGAGTCGCACAAGGTGAGCTCCCGGTCATTCTGCACCTCTACGAGGTAGGTCGTCTTGCCATCCTGGGTTAGAACTTAGGGCCTTTAGGGCTTTTGGGGCTTAAGGGGTTCGGATTTATAGGGTTTAGGGTTTAAGGTTTACGGTTTAGTTTAGGGCTGAGGGAGGTTTACGGTCCTAGGTCGTTGGTGAGGCTTTGCATGGACTTACAGAAATCGGCTAACCTTAAAAAAAAAGATTGCATAAAAAACCCTTACGGTACCCTTATAGAGCCCGCTTTTAGAAATCTTTGTAGCAACGCCTCTGCCAGCTGCTACCTTTAAAGGAACCTTACTTAAAGGATCATGGGACTTAGTAATTGGGGTTATAAGTAAGGTAACTACACTTACCAGTACATATAACCTTAAGGTACTTATAACCCTACTTACTAAGTCCCATGATCCTTAAACCCTAAACCCTTATGGTACCCCTTATAGATCCCTTTTAAGGTACCCCTTATAGATCCCTTTTAAGGAACCCTTTAAGGACCCCTACTTCCTAAGTCCCATGATCCTCCAAGTAGGGCATGGAGACGTGAGGTTTCTCGGGCCTGGGGATGTGAAAGAGACTTCTGGTTACACATGGGAAGTAAGGTCAGGGTTTAGGGTTTAGGGCTTAGGGTTTAGGGTTTAGGGTTTAGGGTTTAGGGTTTAGGGCTAAGGGTGTAGGGTTTGGGAAGTAAGGTTTAGGGTCTAAGGTTTAGGGCTTAGGGTGTGGGGTTTGGGAAGTAAGGTTTATATTAGGGTTAAACTCTAAAACCCTAAACCGTTTGGGAAGGTGAGCCGTGAGTGCAAGCCTAGATGCGAGGAGAGGGTGCCCGGTGTCTTCGAAGAAAACTCTGGCAGGCCGCAGTAGCCAGTGACGTCCACGGGTGGACAGAGAGAGGATGCCATCCTTCAACCGCACGTCCTCGACGGGCATGGAACAACATGCCAAGTGTGAGAGTACCTTGGCGGTCTGGAGAGTTAGTGCATTGTGTTTTTAGATCGGTTGCTGCACTAACGCAGAAACCTGACAGCAAAAGGTGCTACCGACGCGCTGAGTCACGGCGAAGAACAGGAATGACAGCAGGAGGACAGTGCCAGAGGCAAACACGTTCATGAAGGATGCATGGCAGCGGGTTTTATCTGCCGTCACCGCCATCCGCCACCAGAAGGCTTCACACGGAAGGCATCGACTACTACCAGGAGCACTGGCATAGGTGTTTCTCTGGCAGCTGTTGCAGTAGCCTGAGATCCAAGTCCACGAAAAACAGTCTCAAAAGCTTGCCTTTCATACGCACTAGCTTTAGTATTAGTATCAGTATTAGTATTACGATACGTATCAGTATTAGTACTACTAATACTAGTATTAGTATTAGTATGAGTATGAGTATGAGTATTAGTATTAGTATTAGTATTAGTATCAGTATTAGTATTAGTATCAGTATCAGTATCAGTATCAGTATCAGTATCAGTATTAGTATTAGTATTAGTAATAGTATTAGTATTAGTATTAGGTAGTTGCATCTTTATCAGTCTTAGTATTAGTATTCATCAGGTTCAGGTTCTAGGATACCCAGTAACCTAAGAATAAAAAGGCTTCTCTTTTTGGTATTGGGTAACTTTATAAGGAACCTAGGACTACAAAAAGGGAATAAGGGTACTACTGGGCATCCTAGTCCTTGTCCCAGAAGGTAAACTTTGGGGGCTAGGGTTTGGGGTCTAAGTTTAAGGCTTAAGGTTCTGGGCATTCGGATATTGCTTTGCAGGTTCAGGTTTATCTTCAGTGCAACGAGACTTTGACTCCTGCCAAGCTCGGCCAATGTCGACCCGCTCTCTCTTGCAGAAGACATGAGGGTGGTTGTCAAAATTATGGTCCCTTTTTGGGTGCCCTAAATATATGGTGCCGTACTAGAATAAGGACCCAAGAAGGGACCCTAATTTTGACAACCACCCATGAACAGACATGAAGAGAGGGACCTCAATGGCAACCTTGAGCCCTAAACCCTAAACCCTGAACCCTAAACACCCGGACTGCTCTCACTCGTTGCCCTCGTCAGAAGCCACACGGGTTTCGGTCTTAGGTCCTTAGGGCTTGGAGATTATGTAGGCATAGAGACTACCTGGAGGCTCATACCCTACCCCTTCTTTAGGATACCTAGTTTTATGGTTGGTATCTGTTATATAGAATGTTAGGTACCTTAAAAAAGGGGTAGGGTATGAGCCTGAAGGTAGGGTATACAGTAAACTCCAAAAAATGGAAACCGGACTAAGGCCAAACAGTGCTGGGATGGCCTATATATTACTCTTAAGGGTTGAGGCTATTGGGTTTCCAACTTGTTGGCCTTCTATGCTGTAAGGTTTAACCCTACCTGGACCCCAAAAAGTATGTCGGATAATCGCCTTTTATAGCTATTGGGCCATTAGTTTTTAACCTGTGTTTGAGGCTCCGGGCTTCTACTGTAGGGCATCTAGACTCACAACCCAGAGACTCCAATATCCCTTAATTAAGTAATATACCTTAAATTATAGCAGGATCCCTAATATGATTTAAGGAATGTTCCTTAATTAAGGGATATTGGAGTCTCTGGGAAGCTTCAGAGCCCAGGGACGCTGCAGGCTGTGCTTCTCAACAAAAGACCCTGGATCACAAGGCTCACAGCGCAGGACGGATCCCTGCACATACCTGGGTTCAGGAGAAAGGCTTTAGTGTTTAGAGTTTAAAACAAGGGCACATACCTGGGGTGTAGGAAGGAGCTGCAAGAAATCCGGGGGTGATTGAATGTTGGCTTCTGTGGGTCTGATTCTTGTGTCAGGAAGGGGTCTTTGTCGTCAAGTTTCTGACAGTAGCAGCAGTCCCGGCAGCAGCACTGCTAGACAATGGTTGAGCTCTTGCCCAAACTTGTTTGAACTTCTACAGCGACTGCAACGGCCAGGTTGTCTTGTGCTGATGATTTTTGTGTACAGTAGAAGCCAGAAAGTCGGAATATCATTATCGTAACCCCCATAAGGTAAATTATAGGGGATCCTACCATTAATCCATATTCCAACTTTCTGGAGTTCCCTTTAAGTCGAGCGGCTTGTGGCCCGGCAAGCAGAGGCCGACCTCACACATCTCGCCGGAGAAGGGGGCGGAGCAATTGCAAGTGCCGTCCCCGTAGACGGTCGCGCGGGTTCCATTGTTCGTATGTTTGCCTCGCATGGAAAATATCACCGCCCAACAACAAGAATCAAGGAAATTAGACAAATAAAAGGCACAGACACCAACAGCATCCCAATTTTGTGGACGGGTAGACCTGCCTCTCGCTGAGACATCGTCACTGCAGAAACCGCGACCAGAGCACGGCGAAGTGTCAGGCACACCCGGACAGGCCAAACACTTCCTGATGTGCTCAATTGCTGGGATTCCAACCTGGATTGTTCTCGTAATACGGAAAGAGAGGCCAGAATATGGTGATCTGAATGATTGGCCCCAGGTTTTGGAGCTTCGCATAAAGAATAGGGCTCGGGTTGTTCTGGGGACAGTAGGGAAAACAGTCTGTACTAACTTACATATAGCTCTATCTATCTATCTCACTATCTATCTATCCGTCTATCCGTCTATCGATCTATCTATCTATCTCTCTATGTGTATATCACACAGCAGTATGAAGCAATGCATGGGTATACGAAGAAAACGATTCTCAAGGCTCTGCCGGGTTACGTTGACCTTCGCTGGATCAAGGTATCCCTTGCTGCATGCGGAACAGTCAGAGAGGGAGTGCCCGGCGAAGCCTTGGTTTAGGGTTTACGGTGTAGTGTCTGGGGTTTAGGACCTAGGATTTAAGGTTTAGGGTTTACGCCATGCATGCCGAGCTTGTTCGCAGAAAGAACTCAGCTTGTGCAAGCTTGGCATGCATCAAGAAGGTTTTGAACTTCGGGCTTGTAAGTAAAGGGTTTGCGATTGCATATTCAACACTTGGGTCCTTTACTGCAAACCTTGACTGTTTTAGTACACTGCTAAACCCTAAACCCTAAATCCAAAATCCAAAACCATAACCCCTACGTAAATCCAAAAGGCTGTCTGACTGCAGCTGCCTAAAGCCCCAAACTGAGCCTCCAAGAAGCACATGCACTTGCCGGAGGAGTAGCCACAGGCACCACGGCCGGTGCAGGGTTGCTCTAGTCGACAATATCCTGCTTGAAGCTGGGGGTCTGCAGATTGCCCAAAGACAACTCCCTTTAGTCCGGGTATGAATCTTGTATGGTATTCCGGTATTCCCTCCCCATTCCCTGTCCTAATCATTAAGGCTCCTATATTAGATGCCGGCCTGTTACAGTAACAGCCTTGAGGGATTAAGGTTTCGCATTCTAACCCGGATAGAGAACCCTTCTGTAGAACCCGCATAGTACCCCGTATTCTAGTAGCCCTACACTATGCAGCCCTAAACCTTAGTATTGAGAATTGAAGGGTTGGTTGAAAGGGTTTAAGGTTTGAGGGTTTATTAAACTCCGTTGTGCACCTGCCCCTAGGTCAGCAGTTACAAGGCACATCTGCGCCAGGAGAGGACGGCCAGACTTACGCCAGCCAAAGAACGCTCGGGTTTAGTGTCAAGGGCTAGGATGAGAAAGCCGGCAGAAATTCAAGCGAGACCGAGCCACCGTTGTCAAAGTGGCGAACTGCACGCCCTCCTTCCCCTTCATCGAGGGCACCGGTCAAGAGGTCCACATCGCCATCCGAGTCCCAATCCGCCAAGAAAAAGCTCTCTCCAGCGTACAAGTGCGGCAGCTCTCCTAAGCTTTTTGGGCCTTCGGGGTTGGGTTTGGGGAAAAGTACAAACAATTTTTGTTACTTATATTATACGAAGGAACTAATACCGAAGAAACTACACAATGAAACTACTGAACATCCGGGTCTCTGACAAGATCAATCGACTCGCTGACATTCACTTCCTCAGCAGCTAGATGTCGCGAACCAGGCATGCTTGCGGAACTGGAATGTACAAATAGATATGTTAATATGTATAACATCTATACATATGAACACACGCACACACATAGACAGACTATATAAGACTATCATCAATATGCCTGGACCGGAATGTCGGCCTGCAGAGCCTGTGGGCTGCAAAATAATGGTTAGCAAGAGGCACTGAGGAAGCGGCACATCAATATAATAATGGACCCCAACAGCCTTGAAAGCTTTTGGCCGGGCCGAACATCGAATGTATCCGAAGGGAAAACCAAGGGCAATACAGGCATTCCCAAAGGGTCCCCAAATACGGTCTACAGCCAAAGCCCGGGAAGTCCTGTAGTGATTAGGGTTTGGCTGCAAAGCTTAAATAAGGAATACCCCTGAAAGCTTATAAATAAAGCCACTACACCCCGGAACTCTTAAATCGAGTACGGGATTCCAGCAACTGTCCATCTGGCTGCGATAGAAACAGCCGCCAAGCCGAACCGTCCATCATCATCAGGTCCATCGTCCCGTCCGAGTTCATGTCGATTGCCTGCAAATACCTGTGCAGTGGTGGCTTTGGGGCCAGGTCAGGCGAGCAAGGCAGCGAAGGGCTTACATAATTCAGGGGCCTCAGTAATTAGAATAGGGTTTTGAGGCCGATTATACTATAAAAGAAAAGGAACCCCAAGATAGAATAGGTAATTATATGAAGGCCCCTATATTAGTTGAACTGAACAGGACTGTTTTTATATCGTAACCGAATCTTGAGCTGCAGATCTCTGGATCAGGGCGAGGATATCGAGGATCGACCCAGAGACTCCAGTGACTCCAATGTCCCTTGATTAAGGAATACTGCGCCGGGTCGATAGTTCGACCCACTAGCTGAAACAGGGAAGTTGGCCCACGCCACCCCCACCGTCTTCCCCCTAGACTCCGCTGGCCTGCGTGGGGAAGTCGTTACTTGAAACACTCCGCTACTCCGCAAGAGTCTGTATAATGATGCAAGTCCCGGTAGCTCAAAACTTTCGGCCCGGGGATGCCTTCTGAATCGTTTCTTAAACGGGGATGTCTGTCAGGGGACCTGAAGGAGGTCATTAGGTCACGCAGCAACAAGTTCGGCGAGGTTTGCTGAACAGAAAGCCCTCGGTGAGGCATCGGGACGACAAAACTTTTGACCTACTGGATCTGTCTTGTCTTGAGACGTCTTGCGGAGTAGCGGAGTACCGAAAAGTGCGATTTACGTGGCCTGGCCAGCGGAGTATTTTATACCCCGTTTCAAAAATTTCACTACTTTAATGTTCCGGAGGAGTAGCCGGTTGGTCCTGCTTGTTAGGATTCTATGGGGGAATGGGGACCTGTGTTCGACGAAACAAGGAGTAGGTCAAACTTTCGTCCTACCGCAGCGTCAGTTTTGGGTGCCAGAGTCCAGCCCAAACAACCACAGCGTGGAAGCGTTCGGGCACCAGGATAGCAAAGGAGGGGACTCTTGCCTCGGAAATGGAGGCTGCGCTGGGCCGATAGTTCGACCCACTAGCTTAAACAACGAAGTTGACCCACACCCCCACCCTCTTCCCCCTAGACTCCGCTGGCCTCTGTGGGGAAGTCGTTACTTTGAAGCACTCCGTTGCTGCGCAAGAGTCTGTGTAATGATGAAAATCCCGGTAACTCAAAACTTTCGGCCCGGGGATGTTTACCTTAAATTGTAGCAGGATCTCTCATATGATTTCAGGAATATTCTTCAATTAAGGGATATTGGAGTCTCTGGAGATTTGGATTTTGGGATCTCCGGCTTAGGCTTACTTATCTCAGAAGACGTGAGCCAAAGAACACATAATAGAGGCCGATGGAGACATCGTGCAAATCAGCTATGGGCGCTGTACGCTGCTGGAAGGAGCCATTGGGAAGCTGCTGAAAGAACTGCCACACCAACAGTGATGAAGCAGTGTCGTTGCTGCAGGGCAGGAGGACATCCAAATAGCCATCGTTGTTCCAGTCTGCGACAGCTACTGTAGAGCAGAGTGTCCAATTGGGTCTCAGCCGAAACCTCGTTGTTTCACTAAATCTAGGACAAGGGGCGGCTGCTTTACTTCGAGGTCGGGTCGTTACGATAAGTATCCTACTCTCTGGCTCTTCCATATAAAACTTCCCTTTTGTCTGCAACCTCCCACCTCTCTTCCAGGCTTCCGTTCGGCAGGCGCTCGAAATAGAGAAGCTCGCTTCCCTTCCACGTGCCATCAACAACCAGGATATCGTTGAGAGTATCGTTGTTGAAATCAATGACAACAGGCTGGGCATCGGGAACGTCCTCCACTGCCCTAAACCTGAAATCCTAAACTCAAACCCTACAAAACCCTGAGCCTACGTCTTAACAACCCTCACCCCAGAACTCGAGAACTATAAACCTTCAAACCCAATTCCTAAACCTTGTCACCCTGAAGCCCAAACCCTAAGGCGACCCTGCACGGTGAAATACCAAACCTTTAACCTGAAAATGAGAAATGCTAAACCGCGTAATATCAACAAATCAAATCTAAAAACCCTAAACGCCAAGTAATCACCGTGTGAAAGCCGTATAACTACGCAGATCCCATGCCCAACCGTCCGGCAGATCGAGGATTTCTTCCGGCGCACCCAAGCTGCCGTCCACTCGGCGGGGAAAGACCTCGTGCTCCGGGTTTGGGGGCTAGGATTTAGGGCCGTCTAGGGTTCAAGGTCTAGGGCTTCGGGCTTCGGGATTTCGGGGTAAGGGTTTTCGGTTTGCGGTTTCAGGGTTGCAATGGGCTTAGGGTTCAGGATTTCGGCTTTAGGTCTAGCCAGCGTTTCGGCGTCAGGGGAGGAAAGCTGGACAGGGCGACCAGCACAGGCTCGCAGACAGTCGCGGCAGTGAGACATGATGTTGAGTTCTGCCACAGTTTTATGGCATCTCAGCGGGGTGATATACTGTAGGGGTTTTAATAATTAGAATAAGGACCATTATGCTATACTTATTAGAACTTAACCCCCAAAATAGTATTGGTAATTCGCCTCGGCCCGGCCGAAGCGGTCAGAGGTTCTTATTCTCGCTCCAACGAATTTTGGCTCTCTGTAGGCAGTCCCACCACCCACCCCCCTTCCCCCCCCCCCCTCCCCCTGTTTTTTCCTAAACCCCACGCATCTATGCAAAAAACATGTTCCGCGTCCCAAACAGGCAGCGGTCGTTCCGGTGCCAGCGCAATCTACATCCGCTGCTGCTACGACTTGTACAAGGCTCAAAAACTGAAGCTTGCGAGCTGTCGGCTACAAAACTTACAGGTTCGGAAATTTGGTGTTGAAGGTTTTAGACAACAGGGTGCAAGGCTCCACGAGTTAACCCTTTGGCGGATTGCGGGCATCGGAGATTTATAAGTAGTTCTCTATGTCAGGCTCCTGCTCTTCCCCGCCCTGCCCCGCCCTGCCCTGCCCTGCGAATTGAAGTTTTACAGTTCCAGACCCCCGGAGAGCTTTTGCCAGGGCACAGGGTTCAGAAACCGAAGTATGCGAGCTGTCGGCCACAAAACTTACAGGTTCGGAAATATGGCGTGGAAGGCTTTTGGCAGTAAGGTGCAGGGTTCCACAAGTTAACCTTTTGGCGGATGCGGACATCGGAGATTCAAGCATCACTAGCGCCCAGCTAGGGGCTATGTCAAATATCAGGCACAAGATTCGGAGATGCAACAATTTCCACATCAACCGCATCAGTGTTTCTCTAAACCAGGCTCTTGCCCTGCCCTGCCATGCCCTGCCCCGCCCTGCCCTGCTTGGCCCTGCCCTGGCTTAAACCCTTTAGACCCTAAACCGTTGGAGTCGCATACCTCAACCAACCCTAAGAGCCCGGAAAACAAAGGAAAAAAGGATACCACTTAAAACTAAGTTTTAGGGTTTGACGGGTCCTTCAAGGACGCCTTCACAGTGCGCTTGCTTCCGTCACGCGGACGACGCGAAGCGTCTAAAATTACTTAGGCCCCTATAGTACCAGCCAAATGCAGCTCCCTTGGGGTCTGGCGGGGAAACCCACGCCCAAAATTCCCAAATTTGAGGGGTGCCCTGCCCACCCCGCTTATTCCAAGAAACTCAGCTGGTCCCGGCGGCTAGCTTTCGTGATTAGGGCTGCAGGGCTTGCACCCGATACCTAATCAGTAGTCCATATGAAACATGCTGTGAACAGTACACAGACACCTTGACCCTTTACGCAGGAGCTTGGATACATAATAATGGTCCTTCGATAATCCGACCTTTCTCGGCTCTATCCAAAGTGCACATATTCGGAGCTCGGCTTTCTCAAAAAACCCTTATAAATTTTGGCAACCGGCACCTCGATGGATCCGGACACCGACCCGAGGATCAAGTCTGTCATGCCATCTCCATCCCAATCTGCAACCACAGGGCGCGCCCTGCGTCGGTCGATGTGGAAGAGAGTGTATCCACCGGTTCTCTCCACCAGCTGCTTCGTAAAGTGCCATGAGAACCTGCGTCGACACCCTCAAAACCCGAAGCGGCCTCGAACCCTCAAACCAAAAACTGGCAAGAAAGGAGCTGGGGGACTAAGCTTCCAGGGTTCTGGTTCTATGGGGGTAGTTTCAAAAGTATGGTCCCTTTTTGAGTACCCTAAATAATCGGTGCCGTATTATAATACGGACCCCCAGAGGGACCCTAATTTTGACACCCACCCATGGTTCTTTAGCTGGCTACGAGAATCACTGCCTCAACCCAGCCTAAGCTGCTAAGCACGATGGAGTTGGAGAGAATCCACAGTAAGCTCCCAAAACTTGATGTGAAGGCACGGATTTCCAGAGGACAACAGGACCCAAATGATGGCTCTGTCAGCTTGCCAAGGGTTCATATGGGAGTTTCCGAAAACTAAGGGTACCTTTTTTTGAGGTCCTTATTTGCCAGCGAATTCTCAACCCCCACCCCCGGCAAAAGCAATTTAGAGAGGCTTTGTAAACAGTTCTCGACTCCCCTAATCGAGCCAGGATTTTTTTGATGGGACCTATTTTTAAAAACTAAAGAACTTTATTAAACACCGAAAAAGATTTTAATAAAATCTATTTGTAGTCTTATTTCCTCAAGAAGCGAGTTTTTATTAAAAACCGAAAAGATTTTAAAACCGCTGCGAATTCAAAGGTTCTTCAATGAAAAATCTACCCATTACCCAGAAACTTGGGCGATCTTTTAAAACCTCAGGGTGGGGGTGGGGGGTGTAGGTTGGCCGATGACTTATAACAAGGATCCTACTATTTATGGTACTATATTAGGGTCCCTTATTTTCGGAAACTCCCATTTGGATTCCGGCTGAATTTTTGGATTCAAGTTGGGCAGTCGAGGGTTAGGGGCTGCGAGCACGGGCTCCTACACCGCAATCTGCAGATTGAAGAACCCAGAAAACCCACTACCCCTTCATTAAGGGATATTCCTTAAATTATACTAGCGATCGTAATATAATTTAAGGCATATTCCTGCCTAAGGGATATTGGAGTCTCTGGGAAGTTCTCAGAAGCCTCCTATGGCCTAGCATGGGCTCCAGCTGGGCAGACATACTTGGAGCATCGGGGGATGTAGTAAGTAGTTCGTTCATAGACTTATAAGTATCATAACCCCAATCGGGGCCACTTTTTGGGTACTTATAACTCAAAAACTGAATGCTTACTAAGTCCCCCGACCCTCCAAGTAGGGCAAGGTCTCAGAATTCAGTCCCAGGAACACGAAGATGTGGGACTCCCCCCCGAAAACTTGTCCGGTCGCGACCAGCAGATCCAACAACCCATTCGTGCTCCTTTGAATGCAAAGGCTTCTGGAGTTGATTCGTTTCGACTGTTTACCTCGACTCTCCGGTTTAGGTGCTTTTTTGTTGCGTGGCTGCTCTGTTTGTAGAGACATGAGCATTGAGCATAAGGATAGGGATATCCCATATAAACCCCTTATAGAATGAAGCCTAGTAAGGTAGGGATATCACCATAAAGCGCATAAGGGTGGCTATCAGAATCATGGTCCCCTTTTTGGGTCCCTATTATAGCACGGCACCTATTATTTAGGGTGCCCTAATTTTGACATCTACCCATGAGGCTATAACCAAAGTTGAGGGGGCATAGGTGGGCTCTCACAAGTTCTACAGCCTGAACCCCTGGCACCCGCCCTGAACTCTGAGCCCTAAACCCTAAACCCCCTAAACCCCAAACCCTAAACCCTAAATCCTAAACCCTCAACTGAATTCTAAAAACTCATTACACTAAACCCTCGCTGGCCGAAGTTCCCGCCCGCGACTGCCAAGGCAGCGCCACTGAAACCCCAGCAGATGTCGCCATATTCGTCATCATCTTCGGAACCTTCCCGATTCCCGACACCGAACTGAGGGATATGTAGACTCGAACCAGAGCCCAAGCGTGGAAGGTTCAACGGCACACCCTGCATCCTACTCATCAGTCAGGTCTAACTAAGCCCGAAAATCTACACCGAAACCTACAGCCACACCTCAGCAAAGCTAAACCCTCAATCCCAAACCCTAAGTCGTAAAACCAGAGCCCCTAAGCCCTATAACCCCTAATTTTCGGAAACCCCCACATGAAGCGTCTGGGCGATGTTGAGCCTTGGTGGCACTGGGCCCCGGGCTTTAGGGGCCCGCGACTTTAGGGTTTTATGGGCTTGCTTAAAGGATCCTGGGACTTAGTAATTGGGGTTCCTTTAAGGGGCCCCTTTAAGGGATCTATAGGGGTACTATAAGGGTTTAGGGTCTAGGGTCATGGGACTTAGCAATTGGGGTTCCTTTAACGGGTTCCTTAAAGAGAATCTATAGGGGTACTATAAGGGTTTAGGGTCTAGGGTCTACTTAAGGGATCATGGGACTTAGTAATTGGGGTTATAACTAAGGTAACTCCGGTTATACTTACTTGATCTTCCAAGTGCGGCTTTTGGATGCTTTTGGGGTTTGGGGGAAGGACTTCAAGGCCTAGGGCAGAGCACCATAAGTGGTGTTCAGCTTCGAGGAGACCTGGTAAAGCTAGTTACTTTCAAAACTTGCTGCTGCACGTTGGAGTTTAGGCTTGAAGGGTTTGAGGTTGCAGCGTTTACCTCGGATGCCCAGTAACCTAGGAATAGAAAGGGCTCCCTTTTTGGTATTGGGTAACTTTATAAGGAACCTGGGACTATAAAAATGGAATAAGGGTACTACTGGGCATCCTAGTTACAGGCTCAAGGTTCAGAGTTTTCTTTGAAGGCTGGGCCCTGAACCATAAGCTTCAAATAGCAGACAGTCGCGGCCTTCGATCCCAAGGAAGGGGTTCGCACCATTCTGACTCCAGTCCTGTCAGCACCCCCCCCTTCTTCAAAAAAGCGACAGAAAGATTCTACATCAGCAACAGGAAATACATAGGAAATCCGACAAGGCTGATTCCCTCAACCCCTGGCCCTAAATCCTTCTTCTTTAGTTATTAACTCTTGCATTTCTGTGGTCCGTCGAGCCCGCCCCCCCCCGGTAAAGGGTACAACAAAAGAGGCCTTGATGCTTAGATTAAAATAGGGTTTTGGGGCCCAATATGCTGTACTTATAATCAGGGACCCCTAACTAGCATTGGTAATTATTCAGGCCCCTATATGGGAGTTTCCGGAAATAGGGGACCCTAATATAGAACCCTAAATACTAGGATCCTAATTATCGGGACCCCAAAATAAGGTACCCCTAATTTTCGGAAACTCCCATATTGTACGAGCCTAAACCCTAAACCCTAAACCCAAAATAAGGTATTTCCCTTGAAAGGATGCCCCTAGGGGTCCTCGAAGTTCCCGTCCTCCGTGCCATGCAGGAAGCCGAGCAGCGGCCGCTCGCAAAAATCCGGCCGATGCTTGCTGAAGAGAACCTTTAGGTTTAGGGTTTTGGGTTTGTCTCTTACAGTATACGGTTTAGGGTTTAGGCTTTTTAGCTTGGCTCAATCGCTGTCACATGTCTGTGAACAGAACTCTCTTTGACAGTTCGCTAAACCCGCAATCCTAAACCCTCACCAAACCCTAAAAGGATAATGTTTCTGAGGTGGTGAGGAAGGTATGGCCTTGCAATACTCTTGGGCTACTTGAGCCCTAGAGTCGAGGTTTATGGAGCTGCATGCCCGGATTTTTTGTTGCATCCGAGGCTTATGGCACGTGCTTACGCGATTGTACTCCTAAGGGTCTGGGTGCCTGGTACTGAATGAACATAGAGCCCACCAAAATGCAACTCCCCAATAAAAAACGAAGAAGAATCGCAAAAGGGTGCTGTGGTGGAACCTGGGCTGAGTGGCATCCATCGCTCCATCTGCGTCGAAGTCTGCCACAACCATGTTTTTCACATGCGTGGCGTCGAAACCGGCCAGCGGACTATTGGCTTGCACCAAGGCAGAACCATTGACTCGTTCGAAGTACAATATCTCAACTCGCTCGGGTTGGTGGGGATCGCTGACGAACAGATCCAGATCTCCGTCTTGATCCTATGTTCGCGAACCAAAAAACACCGCACGCTTCCGTAAACTCGAGACTACCTGAAGGGCTGCCGCCCCGATGCCCTTTAGCCTCAACGCTCTTAAGCCTGACTGTCGCCGATCTCATCCTAAAACTCTAGGGCTCTATACCCTAAACCCTAAAGCCTGAACCCTAAACCCCTGAACCCTGAACCCTAAACTGAACCCGGTATCCGAACTGATCTCCCTAATCTGACTCCTAAAACTCTAGAGCTCGATAGTACCAGGGGTACCCGGAAGAACATGAACCCTACCTAAAGGATCATGGGACTTAGTAACTAGGGTTATAATCAGGGTAACTATACTTATGATTACTTATAACCCAAATAAAGGTACTTATAACCTTACTTACTAAGTCCCATGTTCCTCCAAGTATAAACCAAACAGCCACTGAGCCCGACAGTCGCTCATCCCCCTCATCCTAAAACTCTAGGACTCTATAATTAGAACCCGAAACTGAACCCGGTACAGTATCCCAAATACCCTACACCCTAAACCCTAAAAACCATGAAACTGCGAACACACCAGGGATCCCAATCCACAGCAGCGAAAGGATACAAAGGCCACTCTTTTGCTGCCAAGAGGGCGCCTGAGGCGCCGTGGGCAAATGCAGGGGAAATAGTATAAGGGTGGGGGGTTTAGGGTTTCGGATTTAGGGTTTAGGGTTTAGGGATTCTAGGTTGCAGGGTAATAGTATAAGGGTAAGGGGTTAACGGTTTAGGGTTTGGGATTTAGGGTTTAGGGGTTAGGGTTTAAGGCTTAGAGGTTAGGCTGAGGTTTAGGGTCTACTTGGAGGATCAGGGGACATAGTAAGCGGGGGTCCAAGTACCTTAATTGGGGCTAAAAGCAATTATAACTGTGCTTACCTTACTTTAACCCCAATTACGAAGTCCCATGAACCTCTAAGTAAGCTTAGGGTGGTTCAGGATGCAGGTGTCGAGTGCAGGGATTGGGTCTCACGCTGTAGGTTAGTGGTCTTCTATAGGGACCTTCATTATTAGAATAGGGTTTTGGTGCCCAGAAGACTATAATTCCAAAAAAGAACACTCAAAATAGTAAAATAGTATAATTAGCGGTCCACCTTTTCGAGCCCATTATACTATAATTAACAAAAGGGCCCTCAAAATAGTATACTTAAAGGTCCACCTTCTCGAGTCTGTGGGTTTGAGGTTTCATGTGCCGTTCTTCGGGTAGGAGTCTCCGTCTTCGGTTGTTAGGGCGCATGGCTCAAGGTTTTAAGCTTCTGTCTCGGTTTAGGGTTTAGGGTTCCAGGGATTCTAGGGTTTCAGGGTTTAGGGTTCTAGGAATTCTTGGGTTTCAGTGTTAAGGGCCTTCGGCCTGAACTCTCTCAACCCCGAAACCCCAAACCGCACAACACGTCTGCTTTCTTTACGTTGCGACGGACCTGGTACTGGTTGGCCGAGGCTGTCAAACAGCAAGATGGCCGACTTGTTTCGAATCGCGCCTGCTGCTTTTTACTATAGGGGCCTCAATAACTAATTAGAATAGGGTGTTGGGGCCCGTTATACACCCCCAAAACAGCATAGGTAATTATTTAAGCCCCTATAGTACCCAGAGACTTCGATCTGACGTGACAAAGCTGTTCAGAGCCGAGTCGTTGGAACCTAAAGCCCTACCTTTGCGTACTTTGATCTGTCCGATAGACCCTAAACCCTTAAACCGTAGACCCTAGACTTTGTTTCCTTGGGCTCTCTCGGCTAGGGGCAGGGACAGAAGATGGGGACATGGTTTGCTGTTTTGGGGAGCATTTTGGCTCCAGCGTTCGGGAAAGCTAACTAGAATATGTAAATGTAGGGTACGAAGCAAATAGATATAGATAGAGATATATCTGTACATATAGATAGAGTACATACATACATACATGCATACATACATGATAAAATGAATAAATAAATAAATAAGTGAATAGGTATATACATATATATATATATATGTATGTAGATGGATACAAAAATGACAAGGCGGCCTAAGGCCATAGGGACAATATTCGCAATTGGTCAGGCCTCCAGAGAACTCCAAGAACCAGAGGCCCTCGTCGTCTTGCAGCAACCAATCCCAGTCGCCATCTCCATCCCAGTCTACCACTGAAAAGGCTGGACGAACCTTCAAGGGTTCTTGATGTTTCCTTAATGGCTTGTTTTCAGGATTCGATCGTGGATTTATTGCGCTGGCCTTGTGCTTAGTACTTCAGGTGTAGGTTTCGAGCTATGAAGACATTTAGGCTGCGCAACCCTAAGTCCAAAACCATATACCGCCTATACCCTACCGCGCCTCCCAGACATTCATCTGGAACCTCGGCTTGCTGGTAAGGCCCCGTCCCACATCAAAAATTGGAAGGGTACAACCGTGGAAGGAGTAAGCATGTCAAACGCTTGTAGACAGTATGAATCGAAAACACTATGTTTGGCCCGCACATGGGCAGCACCAAAACCGGATGTCCAATCCTGGGTAATTCTCATTGTACGTCAAGACGTGTATCGTCATGCCGAAACGCGAGCCAACGTCGCAGCATCAAACAGTATGCAAGATTGTCATCCCATAACTACGGGTATCGAGCGCATGCTGTGATAGTTTCTTCCTCAGTTCTGAACCACGCGGAAGTCTCTCGTTGCTATGTTCAGCTGATATCTGCTACGCGCTTATGTACTTGCCTGCATACTCGCTTTGTGTTTAAGTTATGTTCGCATCGTTTAACAATGTGGCAATTGATTAGTTCTAACCGAATACGGAATGAGTCTTTGCTTAGCACTTACATAGTCTTGATGCACTATGTCTGTTTTCACATTAGTTTTGCACCGGCACTAACACCTATTTCACAAACTTCTGTATGATACTTAACTTGTCAACAACATTTCATGATACAGCTGCGTGTGCTTGTAACATTGTACACCACCTTAACAAACATGACATGTGTGCTGCTTGCGGGCTATGCTCGCGTAATTCTGTTCTTACATACAATTAACAAACCTTGTTCTGCTACATGCTTAAAGCTTGAGAGTAATACCTTATCTTCAACAATACCAATCACGGGTACATGTAGTTGAAACGAAAGAAAAATCAACCGTAGGTAACTGATATTGAGCCGATGGGAAGAAACCAGCAATGCAAGGCAATAGCACTTCTGTGGCAGCTAGTCCGATATCCTACTGTAATCTAAGATTCGTTTATCACATATCTACTCTTGAGGATACGAGTTTTATCAGCATGTTGTATCCCTGCCCTTGCAAAGTAGATGATGGTTCAAACGTTCCCTTGTTGCCGCTATCTCATGCTTAAACAATCAACGATAAACTCAACATCACCAAAAATGCACTGGGATTCTATAATGCGTCTTGAATGTTTCAAGCCTCCGACTATAGTTTGCATTCTTACACCCAGCTGATATTACTCTAATAGTTCATTATCGAATATGCATCAATACAGGCTTGTTTTTCATGGTTTAATGAATATTGAGCAATAATCGGTGAGCTCCAGCTTCATGCCATGTGGGAACTACTTGATTCGACATGGATCTTGCGTTGGCTTACGTTGTAGGTAATGTTGCTAAACAAGTACTAAAGATATGCTAGATTCTCTTGATTGGAGTGACGTAGGATCCAAAAACATGCAGAAAACTACGTGCATGTATTGGCTATTGGCCAAGTCAAGGGGGTTGCACTTTTCTCCAAAACGTCTGCTGAGAAAAGGTTAGATGGTCTTCAGTGATTAGGAATCGCAGCCGATGTAGCACAAAGTTTTAGACAATCGCAGAATATCAACTTGTTGTTTAAGTACTAATATCTGACATTCAAAAAAATATTCTCGCTGGATTTATCTACTCTTATTCTGCCGGAAGTAACCAAATGGTATCGAATGACATTTTTATGTACTATTTGTACGTGTGTGGAAGCAGATATAATTAAAATGATGCTTGTTCAAGAGATGGAGGGAGGCCAAACCCCCAAAGCCACGGCGGTAGTGCACAAGTTCTCTTTAACATGTTCCGCATGTTGAAAAAAACAAGTTCCGCTTTGTAAACAAACTTGGCGCCCTGGGTCCGACGGCCACGTAAGTTGCATTAAAAAACCAACACACGCACACACAAATAATCGAAAAACACACACACATACAGAGAGAGAGAGAGAGACACACAACACATCCGGGAGACTAGTCTCCTGCACATTGTGGTTTGTTTTGCGGTTTCTTTATGTTGGTGGGTGGTTGCTTGTGTCTTCGTCTTGTTTTACTGTTGTTTGGTGCTCGGGTTGGTGCATGATTGTCTTGTCAACTGACTAATCTGCTGTCTTGTGCCGCGAAAAGCCCTGCACTTTAAAATCGTGGAGTCTCGGGTTGAAGGCTTTTGGATTGGGATTCAGGGTTTCGGGGTTAATGCTTTCTGAGCTGGGCTTGAGGCTTGATCGCATAAGCTCCATCAATAAAGCATTTACTCAAGATAATGCTAGTAGCCCTACACCCTAGACTCTCTAAACCCAAAGCCGTACAAGACCACAAACCCGAAACCAAACGCATTCACGGCAAAAAGTTTTTTCAAATGAAAAACAAAAGAATCTTAAAGGCTACAACCCTAAAACCCCCAACCCCTAAACCTACCAACCCTATAAACCTCAGATTTCGTATGCACGAAAGCAAAGCGAACTCAATGAAAGCTCCAAGCAACCGAAGATCTCTGAATGGATTCGCTTCCCCGAGTTGTTCCGTCAGCTGCCAGTTTTGCTGCTTGAAGTACCTCACAGATGAAGGTTTAGGTTATAGGGCTTAAGGACATTGAAATTTAGTTAAGTGCATGGGGGCTGAGCTTTGGGGAACACCAGGTGTTGGCGCTTGGGTTTCGGGTTACGGCACAAAGTTTGGTATCCGTAGTTCGGAAGAGGTGGGGCATAAGTGTTGTTTTCGTATTCTGGGCCGGGTGTTTTGGGTTATGAGGGTTCCTTCCAGTTTTAAGGCTTTTGTGTGTCAGGCTCTGTGTGTGTCACGCTCTTCGACAGGAGGGGGCAGTCTTGCGCATGAGTTTTGCAAGGCAAGAGCTAGTTGCTGGAGAAGAAACCATCACGAACCAGAACAAAACGGTTCAGGGTTTAGGGGTCCAGGGTTTGGGATGGGGCTTATAGGGTCTAGAGTCTAGACAATCCCCTTGCCATGTACCCTCACATACCACGGCCGACATGCTCCCCATCGCGGCACCAGAAGGTCCTTCTTCTTGGAGGATCATGGGACTTAGTAAGTAAGGTTATAGGTACCCTAAGTGGGGTTACAAGTATTTCTGAATACAGTTACCTACTTATAACCCCACTTACCAAGTCCCATGATCCTGTAAGTTGGGAAGAACCTTTACAAGCCGAACACAACTGCCCTTCTAAAAGATCGATACACATCAGAAGCCGGATATAATCTAGCGTAAATTAAGAGTACTGCCACTCTAAACCCTAAGCCCTAGACACTGGACCCTTAGCCCTCAACCTGGAGAGGAAGGCAGCTTAAGAGCAATGTAGACGAAAGTATCAACTACCTCGAAGCTTGTGATTTGGGATCGAACTGCTTTGGGATTTAGGTTTCAAGAGGTAAGCCGGCTTAGGGTACAGATATATGAAGACTGACGAGGCGTCGGTTGCATCAACACCTCGTTTCAGACTCTATACCCTATACCTTACCTGCCTACCACCCTGAATCAACCCCGGCACATTGAACATTTATCCTAAACCCTGTTGAACATGTAAGACTTTGATCGCCCTGGCCTGACCCAGCAGTGCCTTGCATCGGGGTCGGGTGGATCGTCCCAATTGTTTACTGGCCCCCACTGGAGAAGGATAAGCTCGTTGTGGTCGTCGCCATCCCAATCTACCGCTTGCGGGTATGCCTTGCGAAGAAGACTTCTTGAGGTCTTGGGTCTCTAAGTAGCCCCTTTATAAGAAGGGTTCCCTTTTTCCCACTATTCATCGGTTTGGGGCAGTTTAAAATAAAGGAGTTACTGGTAGGGTTGAAGGCTTAGGGACTGTGGATTTGTTGATCCAGGCTACCTATGTGACGTAGCGATTTTATGGCTGAGGCTCCCTACTTGCCTTACCTTTGGTTAGTAGGGAATGGAAGAACGGTAGTAATAGTACTAAACCCTAAACCCCATTCCTCCATTCCCTACTAACCAAAGTACTTTCGGGGCCGCGTCAAGTTCTTGCTCCCTACCAGGCCCAGCCTTGTTTTAGGCTTAGGGTCGGCGGTTGAGGTTTTAGGGGAGGGTTTAGGGTGTAGGGGTTTAGGGTTTTAGGGTTTGAAGTCTAGGGTTGAGAGTTTAGGGAAGCCCCACCGACTGCCAGAGTCCGGCAATGATAGCAGAGATGACCACAGCAACCACGACAACAAGCGCTACCTCCACCTACACACTCCGCCCGGCCACTAGGGTGAGATGCAGCTAGTTGTAGTGTGAGATGCGTGCTGCTACTGGCACAACCTCGGCTGACCCTTCCTGAGGAAAGGCTCAGCAATTCCCTGCTGCCTGGTCCAACCTCGACCCGCCTCCGCCCGGGAAAGGCCTAAACCCCGAATCCCAAGTCCTACACCAAATACGACCAACAGTACAAGCGCGACCCTACCTTTAGCCCCCCCGACACGCATCACTACGTGTAACTAAGCAGTCCTTGCGGTTCGGGTTCCCTGGGAAACCCAGCAAGCCTCGTCTTTTAGGGTCCAGGGCCTTTTAAACCTAAAGCCTTAAACCCTACATCCTAAACCCTGAAACCCCACACTCCCAACCCGAACTCCTATGCTGCCGCTCTATAGCCTACCCTTGTAGAATCCCAAAGGAGCGTAATGTTCGTAGGGTTTAGGTAGACCCTACCCCAAACCCTGATATCGCTCTAATACCTCTTCGAGTCGTCAGGTTGCCCCGTTCGGCACAGTCAGGTGCTTGGTGCCCGTCCGCTCCTTGTCCCAGAAGGTAAACTTTGGGGGCTAGGGTTTGGGGTTTAAGTTTAAGGCTCAGGGTTCTGTGCATTCGGATATTGCTTTGCAAGGTTGGACATGCGAGGGCCCTAAAACTAGAAGACAATTGGCCCGAAAGCATCATCAGCGAAGATTGTGGGGCTATGTGATAGATCCAGTGTATAGGATCGTAAAGTCACAGAGTCAAGAGTCATAGAGTCCATGAGTCATGAGTCATAAAGTCATAGAGTTGCAGTGAGATAGCGTCATAGAGTCGTAGTGAGATAGAGTCACTGTATAGGATCGTAAAGTCACAGAGTCAAGATTCGACCAAGCCAAACCCTGTGAAGGGTTCCGCGGGCACCGCAAAATGTGTAACTTCACCTCGCGTTCGAACACTCGACAACGCCAATCTGTGTGAAGGGTTGCAAAATTCATCTCAATGCTCATCCAAAAATTGCAACTTTACCTCGCGTTCGAACACTCGATTTTGCAATCCCTGTGAGGGGTTGCAAAATTCATCTCAATGCTCATCAATAATTGCAACTTTATCTCGCGTTCGAACACTCCACCACACCAATCCCTGTGAAGGGTTGCAAAATTCAGCTCAATGCTCATCAAAAATTGCAACTTTACCTCGCGTTCGAACACTCCACCACGCCAATCCCTGTGAAGGGTTGCAAAACTCAACTCAATGCACATAAAATAATCCATCTCAATGCTCGTCAAAAAATGCAACTTTACCTCGCGTTCGAACACCCGACCACGCCAATCCCTGTGAAAGGTTGCAAAATGCCAATCCCTGTGAAGGGTTGCAAAAAAAAATGAACTGCACCCAAACCCTGTGAAGGGTTGCGCGGCGCCCGCAAAATGTGTAACTTTACTTCGCGTTTGAACACCCGAGGAGGCGAATCCCTGTGAAGGGTTCACGGCGCCCGAAAAATGTGTAACTTTACCTCGCGTTTGAACGCCCGAGGCAGCGAATCCCTGGGAAGGGTTGCGCGGGAACCCTAAAATGTGTAACTTTACCTCGCGTTTCAACGCCCGAGGCAGCGAATCCCTGTGAAGGGTTCACCCGGGCGCCTAAAATGTGTAACTTTACCTCGCGTTTGAACGCCCGAGGCAGCGAATCCCTGTGAAGGTTCACCCGGGCGCCTAATAAGTTAAAAAATGTGTAACTTTACCTAGCGTTTGGGCCCTCGCCCATGCCAATCCCTGTGAAGGGTTCACCCGGGCGCCTAAAATGTGTAACTTTACCTCGCGTTTGAACGCCCGAGGCAGCGAATCCCTGTGAAGGGTTCACCCGGGCGCCTAAAATGTGTAACTTTACCTCGCGTTTGAACGCCCGAGGAGGCGAATCCCTGGGAAGGGTTGCATTCCCGATGGACGACAACGGTGCCACCCCCTGGCTTTAAAAGAGAGAATTAGATACCGAGATGTAGAGAGTAAGTCATAGAGGCATAGAGTCAAGTAAGTAAGTAAGTAAGTAAGTAAAAGTAAGTAAGTAGGTAAGTAAGTAAGTAACTAAGCAAGTCAAGTAAGTAAGTAAGTAAGTAAGTATAAGTAAGTATAAGTAAGTATAGAGATAGCATAACATAGAGTCCAGTTGGGCGGCAACTTAAGCGGGGAACGCCTACCAGCGGGGATGGGGCGTACCTAGAGGCTCGGACCGGGTCCGATTTTCACAGGGGTCATTTTTGAAGACTGCGGAGTGGTCCACTTTGCATGTTCATAGCGAAATCCATACCGAAATGAGGAACCGTGGATCGAAGGTTTTTGTTTTGCGAAGCCTTGATATGAAGTCGTGCATCATGGTTTGGAGAAGCTGTTCTTTTAAAGGTTTCCATGCGAAGAGGGCCTTGTGTTACCGTGCGGGCCAATGCAAAGTCTTTGCTGCAAAAATCTTGAACAGGCTGGCTGGCCTTGTGAGCTTCCTTGATAAATCGACCAACATGTCTGTAGGGTTGGCACTGGACGTTGTTAAAGCAAAGCAAGCGTGTGTCATGCACAGGATGTCTGGGAATCACTCAGAGTCGACCTGCTCATAAAAAGGGCTGTGGTGAAACCATAGACAAAGGGTTTAGATCGAAGTGTACACCACACAGGTAAGACAATCCATTGTGTTTCAAGTGCATGCAGTGCAAATGCATCGGCACGCAAACAAGGGCTGAAATGCAGATGCACAGCAATGAACTGCCTAGATCAGATCGTTCACAAGGAGGAATTGCAGCAGTGTTGCAGAGACAGAGAGCCAGCCAGGCAACAGGACGTGCACAGCAAGTGCCATGCAGAGACAGAGCAACTGCAGATCAAGCTCATTGCACAGGTTTATATTATATGTGTCCAAGCACATTCACATGTCAACTGCAGTTTAATGCTAAGGACCACGACTGCCGGGGCTTTATTATATTGCCACCAGGGACCGAGGGCAGATCAAGTGCCAGCCAAAAACGTTTCAAGTGCAGCTGAAGGGCGAGTATCAATCATGGCATTGGTTCAGGAAACACAAGCAAAGCACAACTGATCCAGCGTGATTGAAACGCTTTTCAAGGGCAATTCAATGGTAAGTATGTTTCCGTTGTTTAACAGCGAAACCCAAACCAAATACAGATCAAGCGCATTTCAAGCGCATTTCAAGCGCATTTCAAGGGTAGGGAGGCTTGCCAGGCCTTGGAGGAATGCAAGGAGCAGCGCGTTTCAAGCGCATTTCAATAGTAAGGTGGATTCCATAAAAGAAGAGGAGGTCCCAAAGCAAATGCAGATCCAGTGCCTTTCAAGCGCAGTTCAATTGCATTTCCAAAGAGAAGGATTCCGTGCTTTAACAGCGAAACCCAAACCAAACACAGATCAAGCGCAGATCAAGCGCATTTCAAGCGCATTTCAAGGGTAGGGAGGCTTGCCAGGCCTTGGAGGAATGCAAGGAGCAGCGCGTTTCAAGCGCATTTCAAGCGCATTTCAAGCGCATTTCAAGCGCATTCAAGCGCATTCCACTAGTAACGTGGATTCCATAAAATAAGAGGAGGTCCCAAAGCAAGCGCAGTTCAATTGCATTTCCAAAGAGAAGGATTCCGTGGTTTATCACCGAAACCCAAACCAAATACAGATCAAGCGCATTTCAAGGGCATTTCAAGCGCATTTCAAGGGTAGGGAGGCTTGCCAGGCCTTCGAGGAAAGCGCATTTCAAGCGCATTTCAAGCGCATTTCAAGCGCATTTCAATAGTAAGGTGGATTCCATAAAAGAAGAGGAGGTCCCAAAGCAAATGCAGATCCAGTGCCTTTCAAGCGCAGTTCAATTGCATTTCCAAAGAAAAGGATTCCGTGGTTTAGCAGCGAAACCCAAACCAAACACAGATCAAGCGCATTTCAAGCGCATTTCAAGCGCATTTCAAGGGTAGGGAGGCTTGCCAGGCCTTCGAGGAAAGCAAGGAGCAGCGCATTTCAAGCGCATTTCAAGCGCATTTCAAGCGCATTTCACTAGTAACGTGGATTCCATAAAATAAGAGGAGGTCCCAAAGCAAGCGCATTTCCATTGCATTTCCAAAGAGAAGGATTCCGTGGTTTATCACCGAAACCCAAACCAAATACAGATCAAGCGCATTTCAAGCGCATTTCAAGGGTAGGGAGGCTTGCCAGGCCTTCGAGGAAAGCGCATTTCAAGCGCATTTCAAGCGCATTTCAAGCGCATTTCAAGCGCATTTCAATAGTAAGGTGGATTCCATAAAAGAAGAGGAGGTCCCAAAGCAAATGCAGATCCAGTGCCTTTCAAGCGCAGTTCAATTGCATTTCCAAAGTGAAGGATTCCGTGGTTTAGCAGCGAAACCCAAACCAAACACAGATCAAGCGCATTTCAAGCGCATTTCAAGCGCATTTCAAGGGTAGGGAGGCTTGCCAGGCCTTCGAGGAAAGCAAGGAGCAGCGCATTTCAAGCGCATTTCAAGCGCATTTCAAGCGCATTTCAATAGTAAGGTGTGCCAAAACCAAAAACAGATCAAGGGCACTTCAAGTGCGTTTCCGACACATTTCAATGATAACCAGGATGCCATAGGTAAACGAAACGAAAAGCACATACAGATGAAGTGCACGCCTTACGTTCTTCAAACACATTGGATGGCAGCAAGGATTGCACACACACACAGACAGACAGACAGACAGACAGACAGACACACACACACACACACGCACACACTTGCTTGAGTTGCCAAACAAATCACGGGGCATTGGGCAACAAAATATGTGTCAGTAATCAACCCTTCTCACTATTGTCATGAGAAAAGCAAGCATTCCAAATCACAATTGTCATTTCAAACCCTGCATTCCCAGGTCCGGCGAGGTGTGCTTATTGAACTGTCGGAGTTAGCATTACAGATATGACTTGAACTAGAAAGAAACGCCCTGCGTGTGGTCGCAACGACCAATCCGACTGGAAGCAGCGCAGCTCTGGCAGTCTGGATCTCTGGGTGTCCTGCAATCCATGACAGTCGCAGCTCTATCGAATCGTATTTGTTCGGAACATGTTTGGAGTTTAAACCATAGGGGTTTAAGGAACAGGTTAAGGGGTTAGTCTAGTGTAGGGTTTGGAAATTACACGTTCAGGCTCCCTGACGATGACTGGACGGGCATGGGGTTCAAAACTACACACACTGCACTACTGCCTACTCGGGGCTTACCTATTCCAGCGGCAGCAAAAACAAACCAAAAAACTCATGCATTGCTAATGCCTAGGATGTGAAACCTGAGACTCAGAGTGCTATCAATGACGAATGAAATTGAGAAGCTTCTGAAATGAGCTGCAGCTCCAAGTTATAATTTCTTGAAAGGGCGATTGCTGGCTAACATCTACAAAAAGTATTATTCCGTATATGCTGGCTTGAATCATTGATTCCACATAGACTAGACTTTGATTTCAATAATTTTGACTACATTACGTATGTATACTAATACATTAGGTAGCCGACGCACATTTTCAACCTGGGCACTGCGGGAAAGTCGAGCGTCCGTGCTATGCGTGTGTCTCCTCGTCCTCCGAATCATCGAAGTCCAAAAGAACCTGCGAGTCGAACTCCGGTGTGTTGTACCTTCTCAGTGCCGGCACTTCAAGTGCACGACGGGGACCACGACCTGCCCTGCTGCTCTCATTAAGGGCACGGAGTCGTCCATAGCAGACCAGCGTGGCCCAAAACGTCGCGGCGAAGCAGCTCGCTTCAAAAGCATTGCCAGCAAGATCTGCCAGCAGGCTCTGCGGGAAGTTTTCCAGTCGTGTGTCGTCCTCCGTGAACCATGCCCCTTGCAAGCGCAACGACTCCAATGGGAGCATGCACCGGCACTCCGATGTCAAGTACCGCTCGCCCTTTGGTGTCACGCACGGCGAGTGGTTCGTTAAGTGGGCAAACTTGTCCTGCGAGATGTCGACGACCTGAAGAGTCTCGCTTGGGAAGTTCCTCACGCCAAGCTTGAACAAAGTCCTGCGTTTTCGGGCCGTCATGCACTTGAGGTACGGCCGTGTCCGAGCTGCCCGGCGGAATTTCTTTAACCAGTCCTTGGTGACGATCTTCTCACGTTTCAGGGTCCGGGTGCCCGACGAGCATGTGCTGAGGTGGCTGAAACTTGTTGCCCGGCTTGATGCGAAGGATTGTCGCCGGAATTCTCCCACCAGTCTGTCCTGCGGCTGTGACTGAGTGTCCTGCGACTCCTCGACCTGTGAGTCTTGTCGTTCTGCCCGGCGACGACGAGCCCGTCGTGTTTGGAGCTGCTGCAACTTCTTGTTGTACTCCGTGGTGAACTTCGCCATATGCACGCACCTGCATCAGAACAGAATACAAGTAGAAAGTACTTATTGCATGAGTACACCTAGAAACACACCTGCGAACCTACATTTAGCACTACGTCCCTATTTTTCAATCAAGGCAGTACAACAAGCCGTGGCATGAAAGAAGTATCTTGAAGAAACCTGATCCTCCCGTCAGACGCACCCAAGGACCTTAACTAAAACACATGTCCTGAATCAACTTCAAAACGAGAAAAACAACTGTACTGTATGTCGGTGGTAGGGGAGTAATGCAGCAGCAAATAAGCTCAATCTCACAGAACTACACCTGATTCGATGATGGCAAGGATGTGGGAAGCTACTACTCCTGCCAGAAACCAGAAAGATGAAGACGATACTCTGATACTCTGTCTTCAATTCTCCGAACTTACTGAGTAAAAAAATCAGAACTACTACAATATCCCTGGAACCATGCTCCCTGCGAGGTGTACGAGGAACCATTGCCATCTAAGCATGGGCCTCGAGTTGACCAGGTACTCCGACACCGAGATCTCCTTCAGACCCAGGAGTGTGTCCATGATGCTGTTCAGCATCTTTTGTACTTCGTGTTCTGGAAGGAGTCCCTCGAAGATCCGGCGTGGAATGGCTGTCATCCACAGCCGCTTTCGACTTTGTGGAACACCGAACATTCGTGGGTCCAACTCCCAGACATGCAGCAAACGATCTGTCTTTGTGCTGATCAAGTGTCCGACATGGTCCAGGTTGGAGGGTCCAGTGCTGCCGTCGGCGTTACGGGTCTTGGTCTTCAGTCCGGCGACGTTCTCAAACAAACAGAAATTCGGTCCGACGAGGCCCGTCGACTGCAGGTAGTGAACGATGCCCTGCAGCACGGAGCCAGTGCGAAGAGTGCCGTCGGCAACGCAGGATCTGTTGGCCGACGTGGACGACGACGGGTTCAGGACAGAACAATCCTGACATGGGAAGCCCGCCGTCATGACCGTACAGCGTGGCATGCGCACGAACGTGTTCGTTTTCGAGTCCCAGATTTCCTTGTCATATTCCAGGTCCGTCGCGTTACAGAACATGCGCTCGATCTTCCTGTCCGTCGTCAAAAGGAACTGGCGTTTGGCGGGCTCCTTCTCGCAGGCGAACTTGTGAGTGAATGCCGGCGAGTCCAGCTCCCAGTGGAAACGTGCCCAGTCCCAGAACTGCTTCATGACCGTCGCAGCGATGTCCATCCCACTGCAGATCGACCCGTATTGTCCATCGAGGAGCGTGCTTTCACGCACCAAGTCCTGACAGTATGCCACGTCCTCGGGGTCGAGCCTCCTGACCCAGAGCCTGAACAAGTCCTTCGTGCGTGTTGCATGCGCCGGCAGGGTACGTGGAAAGTGTTGCAGGCTGTACTTCGGAATATGAACCTCGACTTGCTTCACCACTTCTGCAGTACGGCGATGGGGTCTGTCCGGCGTGGGTAAGTCCTCCGGCTGGAACTGCAACGCTCGCCGCAAAGCCATGGGTAAGCTACGTGTACTGTACAGCGAGTGCCAGATGTTCTCTCAGGAAGCAGGACTAAGGAACCGGGAGACGATGAGTTTGCCGATAGGTATAGGCGTTCCGAACACAAGCCCCGGCCTCTCGTCCAATTATATAATGCTCTTTATGAATCCTGCTGAACGACGTGCTTTTATCAGTATAGCTGCCCCTGCATTGCACTGTTCAGATGATGTTCTGGAGCCAGAAGACTGACTTGGCTCTCTGGAGACCATCATGAAACCAGGTCGGAAAGGTTGACCCCATTCTTCCAGCAGCAGCAAGAAACATTGAAAAACAAAGCTTTCCAAATCGACAGTAAAAGAAATCCATTGGGAGCCTCTCTGCGACTAGTCCAACCGAAAACTAAAACCACATTCAACAAGAACGAACTAACATCATAGTGTAAGCAGCATTTCAAAACATAGGACATCTGAACATTCCATCCAAGACTGCACTGAACTGTGCGGCCGAAACCGTCCTTGAAGTGCTCCGTGTGTCGCTGCCAGAGTGAGAAGGGTGTGGCCTCTGCCCCAGGGCCTGCAACATGGAAATGGAAAGCATCTAGCCAAGGAGTGTGGGGGAACAGCGGTGTATTATCCTTAGGACTTCAGACACGCCTCTGCATGTACATGTTCTGTAGAACCTACAGATTCCAAATGGCAGAATGAGCGGCCCTTTTTATCCTTGCCGAAGGGCCGTCCTTGACATGCACAAGTCGGTCGTCAATCGTGTGACAGCGGGGAACTGAACAAAAAGAACCCAACCACAAAGTCTAATACATTATTCTGGTTTTCTGCAATCTTCTTAAGTTAATTCTCTTACGAGATTCAATGAACTGATTCAATGATTCGAAACATCGGGTCATCGAACAACGTGTGTCATGCAAAACTTGCACGGGCGAGTCCACCGGCGACAACATTCGTCATCTCTTGTCTGACATAAAATCATACTTTGCGAAAGACACGTTGGAAAGTTATAGCATTACGTACACCGGGGACTTGCTACGGCTCCTCTTCTTCGTCCAGCGACTGAATTGTCCTCGTGAAACGGCCCTGCAAATCCTTCAACAAATCGAGTGAGCTGCGCCTGTCCTGCTCCAATGTGAAGCATGAACCGAAAACGTGTGCAGCGATGTCGTCGTCCAGCAAGTGCAGGTCGCGTGCTCTCTCGCGCCATGCAGTCTGGAAACGAACGAGCGCTTGTGAGATGGTCGGCGTGTGCTTGACGAAGCCCTTCGGGTCGGGAGTGAACAGCGAGCGTGTCGTCTTCGCGTAGCAATCCCACGTCACCACACCGAGTGCCCACATGTCCGCCTTCGGGCCGATCTCCACCTCTTTCATCAAAGTGAAGCTGCTGAGCAGTTAAGGGAAACGCCAACAAAATGAAACACATAGTCATACTTCCTGCCAAAAAACAAGTCAATTCTTAAAGACATGGCTGTTACTAGCAAGATATGAAGTTTTTCAGGCTATGTCTTTGACTAAGAAGCTGAGTCTACGACTGCATGTGCTGACATGACTCTTCTATGAATCAAGAATCAGATCTTTGTGTCAAGTTTTCAATTACAATGGCCATTGCGAGTTTGCTAGTAGTAATGACATCAGTTGGATCCGGGAATGCCTGAGGTTGATCTGGTCCTGCAGTTCAGATCCGCAAAATCATAAAGTGTTACTAGAATGAACATACGCACCGGGCTTACTACTTTCAACTTTCTTCGACTAGGATTCATGGTCCAGGCCTTGCCGTCCCCGGAGTAAAGGCACTCGATCGGCCGGTAGTACGTCGTGTAGACTTCGTCAGCTCTGACTTTTGCTTTTCCATTGAGTGGCAAAGCTCGGCAAAAACCAAAGTCGGACAGCACCACCCGCTCGCCGAGGAGAAACACGAGGAAGTTGTTCGTTTTCACGTCCAAATGTACGATGTTTTTGCTGTGCACAAATGTAAGAGCTGCGAGTGTCTGCCGAAAGTACGTCGTTACTTGGGCTCGTCGTGTGCTCCAGGGAACTCCGTCCTGAAGGTCGTCCGTCTTCAAGTCCCGTGTGGCCTTCAAGAGGTCGCAGGAAGCCCGCTCCATTAGAATTCCCGTGTGCCCAGTCGAGGATGTCAGCAAGGCATAGAGTCGCAGAACATTCGGATGAGGTCCTATCTGGCTCAAAAGAGTGAACTCACGGGTCAAGTCCCACGTCTTTTCGAGACCGTCTTGGTGCACGTCCAACAGTGCAGTCTCCCTGTCCGGCGTGCGAACGGCCACTTTCAAGGCTAACTTCAGGCCCTGGTACGTGCAAGCGAAAATCTCCCCGTACGTGCCGCGACCCATATGTTTCTCCTGCACCAGTGGGTCCTCGGCCGTGTAGCGAAAAATGCCACGACCGTCGAAGTCCTGCGACTCTGCGACGTCCGGCAGTTCTCTGTCCATGAACGAAGCGGGGGGAACTTCCGTGTGTTTGGCCTGTCGAAATTCTTCGCGTTGGACCCGATTCTCCTGGTAGCCCTGCCTGGCCTTGCGTGTGTACTCGTCACGGAGGTCCTTTCGGTTGTGCCTCGGGGAACAGAGGAATTTTACTGGACGATTGGGTGAAAAGGTAATCCCCGAGTAAAAAGTAACATGACTTGTATTAGGACTTTTAGCTACATCTTATTAATTATGTCTGAAGTAAATAACTTTGGTACGTAGCTAAGATGGCATATTCGGGTTCCTGACCAGAATTGCCAAGATTTTACTTCCCGTGGCTTCAGATGACTTGGGGTTCTAGGCAAGGGGCACATGTGTCAGTATCTATATTGATTTTGCAGCCAAGAAGCCACTTGCGCAGATAATGTATTGAACCGCGAAGTGATGTTTTCCGGGACAGTCGACGACGAGATTTGGGGTCCACAGAGTCCTTGCACATGTCCTGCATGAACAGCGCGTATGCCGAGGGTCGTCGTGACAGTCCCACCTCCTGTAACTTCGGCCGGGCCACCATGGCACGAGTAATACTTCGAGGATGGAACCACGAGTCGAGACATGTACAGAGACTCTTTCCGTTCCATTTATTTCAACAAAACTGAATTCTCATGGACTCCCACCGAGAATAACAACCTAGGTTTCAAGTACAAACATTTCTGGTACAATTTCCAGTTGCGCTACATGACTACTCATTATCTTGTGTGTCCGTGGGGAAAGTTACACAGAAGGTGAGTGAGGGCGCGTTGGCTCGCCATATCAGTACATGTCTGGCCTACTTAAAATACGTGCTCAATGCATGGACGACATGCTCCTGAACTTGAACCCACATCACCGCCACTGTCTCACACACGTAGCAGTGCATTACAGAAGTCTGACTAGAAGCATCAATTGCACGGATCAAACACGCGTGCAAAGCGGAATAATCCTCTTTTGGGCCCGACGAATGTGTGCATCGATGCTGAACGACGATGTGCTACGAGGAGAAAAAGTCCAATCACGGGCATGTCAAGTCCGAGTGAACTCAGGAGTCGAACCTTGTCAATCGCTCCTGCAAGTTTTCGGGTGGATCACGTCCTTCGTGGTGCTCCACCCATGACCAACCTTGTGTTACACAGGCTCGACCGGCGGCAGCTTCACCTACTTGTGTCCATGAAATACTACGTGTAATGCTGACTACAGCTGTCTTGTACGACACCTTCCAACGACCATTCTTTGGGTCCGTCCAAACCTGTACAGTATCAGGAACCATGCTCTTCACAAGCTCGTCCGTCGTGGCATTCAGCTTTGCGTACACCCGGTCGTACTGCTGCTTTAGCTTTTTGCTGTCCTTCTCGGCCTTCTGAGTCTTGCGTCGGCGTGTGTCCTGTCCGGCCTTCCAAAAGTCCTTGTCCAGGTCCGAGACGGCGTTCTTGTACATCGTGCATACCTTGGGTCGTAGACTTTTGGCCGAAACCGTGGACCGACGGGCACTGAGCTCCTTGAGGGCCTTGTCCTGCTCGCCAATGAGCAGCGTGTCCCGAACGACGGCTTCCAAGTCCTTGTCGTCGACCTCCGGCATCCACTTGTCAGTCTGATGCCTTGCCAGGATTCGTTGAACCACGTCCTCTTCGACCAACGAGTTGTCCATGTTGAGCATGGCGGCAACAGCCAGCTGATGTCCTGCGTCCACACCTGATTTGGGTTGGGTGGCGGTCCAACCCATGTGCTGGCACAACCTGCGCAACAAAGCCTCAGAACAGGCAGCGAAGCCCTGCTCGGCGTGAAAGTCCAACGTGCCCATCTTCTTGTCCACCAAAAACACGATGCCGTTGTTGAGGTGGCTGCCCTGCGTGGAACGACCTCAGCAGTAGCAGTAGCGGCAGCAACACTCTTAGTAAAAAATGATCGCAATCGTTAAGTTTTGCGCCTGGTCAGTAAAAAGCGGTGATATCACTAGGAAGACTGGTAAAAAGACTCGAAAAGGGTAGTAGTAGTAGTAGTAGTAGTAGTAGTAGTAGTAGTAGTAGTAGTAGTAGTAGTAGTAGTAGTAGTAGTAGTAGTAGTGGTAGTAGTAGTAGTAGCAGTAGTAGTAGTAGTAGTAGTGATAGTACTAGTAGTACTAGTAGTAGTAGTAGTACTACTACTAGTAGTAGTACTACTACTACTAGTAGTTGCAGTAGTAGCAGTAGTAGTTGTAGTAGTAGTAGAAGAAGTTGTAGTAATACTAGTAGTAGGAGTAGTAGAACTGGTACTAGTAGTAGTAGTAGTAGTACTACTACTACTACTACTAGTAGTACTTGTAGTAGTAGTACTACTACTACAAGCAATCGCAGTAGTTTACAGTAGTAGAAGGAATCTCAGCAACAGTCCTAGTAGTAGTAGTAGTATTACTACTACTAGTACTAGTACTACTAGTACTACTACTACTACTACTACTACTACTACTACTACTAATACTACTGCTAGCACTAGTACTAGCACTAGTAGTATGGCCAAAAAAGTGGTAGCAGTACACACAACCACACCCTCCTTTCGTCAATACCCAAAACCTCGACGCACGTGCCATCCTGGGCTACTCAACCTAACTCTGTGAAACTTCGAATCCTTGACTGTCGAATCGCCTGAGTTGTTCAGAAACCCATAAAAAATAGCTTCAGTGCTACCCCCCCCCCGGGCCGAAACTTACAATCTGAACCGGAGAAGCCTTCCGTGTCAATCAATCATCGTCACTCATTATAGGACGAATATATATGTAGAGAATGTCCGTGTCGGGCTGACAATGTTCAACTGTACTGCAGCCGAGGCACGCAGAGGTGAAACAACTCGCAGCCGCAACACTTCCAAGTCCAAAGATGTGCTGTGCATCCAAAAGAGAGACCGAACGCCCATGTTGAATTCGAAAAACTCATGGTCCTTGTCCTTAACGATCTTGCCGGGCCATGCGAGTGCAGCCAAACGGTATGTCCGAACGATGAACAACGTGTCTGCACCTGCCAGTACAACATGTCCTTCGGGCAAAAGTCCAGAGCACCAACCTTCTTCACAAAGCGACCATCGCTTGGCCCTCCACGCCTTCATCAGTAAACTGAAGGCAGCCAAAACCTCCTGTTCCTCGGCGTGGTTGTGGGAGACCCAGTCCCTCGTCTTCGTCACGTCTGCAAGAAGCTGTGCTTCCTGCACCTCCGAGGCACTGACCTGCGTGCTGACCGACGAATCGGAACGACGACGAACTGCTTGAATCTTCTTCTTCTCGGTGTCTTTGCAGAAAAGTTTGGCCACGTCAAACGCTGCCGGCGTGTGGTAGAGCTCCGTTGACAGTGCCTCCACCCTCTCGTACATCTTGACCACGGCCTGTTGGGTCACAGCCTTCCATCCGTCCAAACGACCCAAGTCCTTCGAAGACGAATGTCGTTGCTCGGCCTCGCGCTGGACTTTATTACAGTCTTCGATGATCTTCGTGTTCAAGAGGCCCGACCAAATGCTGGTCAATACGTGTGCAACGTCCTCCGTAAGGCTCTGAAACCGGGTAGTGCAAAGATCGGCGAGGATGTACCGACTAATCGGCCCTTGGGAGAAATGACCTTCGAGCAATTTTTTTGCCATACGAGAACCACCACTGTGCGTGTCCTGGATACAAGACTGCATCTCTTTGAAAAAATCCAAGCTTGCCCGACGGAACTGCTCTTCAGCATGGACTAGTCCTGCGGTCGCACCGAAACCTCCAGTATGGTACAGCTGTGCCCCGGCCCGCAGCCGCAGGATCTGTAGTGTCAACTGCGTCATTTGGCCTGCGAGCGAGTCCTGCCAGACAAGCTCTGTCTCCTCCGGGGGTTGTGCGCGTGCCAGTGTCAGGTCGAGGCCGACACGAGATAAACCTTCCAAATTCGACAAAGTCCTGACGTGGTCCTTTGCAGTGCTCATCCAAGACCAGTGTGCCCAGCCAGAGTAGTAGTCCTTCGTCATGCCTTTGGAACGCAGCTGCTTGAGCATGAGCGAACAACGAAGCTCTTCGGGTTGCAAGACCTGGAACATCATCCTGGCTGTCGTCTTGTTGTCCTGCGAGATCACGAACTTCGTCATTAAGTGTAGACTGTTCGCGCTGCCCTTCCGCTCCTGGTCCATGCCTTGCTTGGCCTCCTGTATGGCAGAAGACTTGCTTCCACCATATGGAACCGAGGCACGGGCCTGGTTGCTGTCCTGCGAGAAGAGGTCCTTAGTGGAAACTGCCCAGTTGTGCTCCAAGCAGACCACCGTGAGAACTAAAGCCAAGACCGACCACTCTTTGTCCAGCGCGCTGTGGGCCGTCGTCAGGGAATTGAACCGACTCTTGCTGGCCTTCGTGCCCTTGATGCGGATGCAGTCCATGTCGGGTAATGTCTGCAAAAACGACCTGCGTTTCTCCTCCGTGTTGTCGTCCAGGGGGGAGAGGCCGGCGTCCAGCAGAATGTCCGGGAAGAAAAGGAGCAATATCGGGTCCGAGGGGTCCATGTTGTCCTTCATGCGATTTGCGGCTTGCTGGATCTTCAACGCCCACGAGCCCTTCTGCCAGGGTCCATACCTGATGTTGTACAGCGAGATGCACCATGTGCAGAACTTCAGGAGTCCAGCGGCCGACAAGGCCAAAGCCACGTCGTTGTGCGACCTGTGGGCGGGGTCCGAGACGTGTTCGATCCAGAGGCTCTTTTTGTTCCTCAAGAAGGAGACAGCCGCCAGCTGTGTTGCTTCTTGGTCGGTGCACAAAATCATGATCGGTGCACGTTTAGCCTTCGTGTCGTCCTCCGCGGGGCCGGCCGGCGTGCTCTGGCAGCAGCCAAAAGTCCAGCCAATGGGTCGCAAGCCGTGGTTTATGTCCTGCATCCAAGACAGTGTGGCCAGCCGGTCCTCCGCATGACCAGGTCCAACGGGTTTCTCGATCCCGAGGAACTTCTTGGAAGCCTTGTTCCACATAGCTTTCCACTGCTCAGCCGACAAGACGGACGATTTCTGGACCTGCTGCGTGGTCTGACTACACAGAGAAAAATGTGAAGCAAAGCTTAGAGGAAGAGCTTGTCAGCAACAGCATGCAAAACAAACGACAGAGGTTGTTACCATATAATCACCCAGGGGCCCTTTTTTTGGGGACCGGCCGGTCAACTTAAGCGGGGATCTGGCGTACCTTTTTGGGGGCCGAAATGCAGCCAAAATGTGGCCGAAATGCGTTCCTCGGCCTCCACCCGGGACCCGGTCAACTTAAGCAAGGCTGTGCGTACCTACTCATCAGTAGAAGGGCGGCCGGGAGCCTTTATCAGGCCAATCCCGAAACCCAGGGGTCAGCGGGGATACGTGTACCTATCTTTATATAAAATACAATAGAAAGACTCCGCCCCAAACCGAGCCTGAGCGGGGATACGTGTACCTCCCCTCGGAAAAACGATTTTGGTCGGACCCAGAAGCTACGAAAACGGCACCCAAAAAGGTCAACTTAAGCAAGGCTCTGACGTACCTCGCCTCTTGCCTAAAACGCCTCAGAAATATGTGTTGCTTAACAAAAAAAAGCGCCTGCGGCGGGCAGACCCAAACTTTGTCCGTCGTGTGGTTGTACACCATGATGTTCAGCCAATCGTCACTTCCCACGTGCACTGCATCTGCCACCACGCACAAAATGTCCGTCGAGAGGAAATCTGACTTGCCCTGCGTGACATAGGCGTATCGCTCCATGCGTGCTAGCCTGTGTGCGTCCATAGAAGCGTGCTTCTTGATCTTTTGTTCGTCCTGCTGTTCGCTGCTGTCCTGCACGGTGAACGCATGTCCTTGCAATGTGGAGGTAAGTGTCCTGCGTGTGGCATTCGATGAACTCGCAACCTCTTGTCGAAAACTCGTGGACGACCGACGATATCCGGAGGTGCTCCTGAAACAACAGGGGGAATATCAATTTTCGGGCTTTCAAGACACAACCCTACATCTTAAAACCCCGGAACCCTCCAAACCCTTCAAACCCTCCAAACCCTCGAATCGAAACCTCTCTCCTAAGCTGCATCACTTGCTTCACATTCAAAGATGTCCAGCAGGAATGCGTGTCGTCCGACGAATCCATGGCACGTGCCAAAGCCGCCAACAAGTAGTACTTCGTCCTCAAACTAGATGACTTGCGAGTGTCTCCAATTGTCCGACGGGTGCAGTCCACATTCACATCCTGCAGCACGTCCATGAATCGGGAACGATCGCGGTGTAGTACTTTAGCAAGTAAACTGTTTTGCAGTACAACCTCGTCCACGTCCAGCGAACCTCCTTTGAACGGCAGCACCAGAGTGTTTCCGTCCCACGTGAATGAGAAGTCCTGCGGGGTCTGCAGGAACAAGGAAGCGAGGCCTTGAAGCAACTCCCCGGCCAGCTTGGATACCTCCTCTGCCGGCTTCTTCCATTTGGCATCTTTGCGCATACCCTGGTGCCATTGATGCAAAAGAACAATCGTTGCAAAGCTCGACGTTGCAAACTCTGTACAACGTGTGCTTCGTCCAGCTGCTACCTCTTCCATCTGGTCACCCGTGTGCTCCTCATTGTCCGCTTGCTCGTTGTCGTCCTCCATGTCGTCCTGCATCTGCTGCGAGGTTGCCTTTCGTTTGGTGCCCTTCTTCTCGGCGTTTGCAGCGTGCTCCTGCTGCTTGAGGAGGGAGAACGAACTCTGGAGAAAGTGCGACTCGATCTCTTTTTTCAGAGCGTCCTCCGTGTCTGTCCAGCAGGGCCATGCAATCGTGAAGAGCTTGTTCCTGAACGTCGACACACTGCCTGCGAGGAAATTTCGAGACTCGTGTCCTCCGAGGAAGTCCACAAACCAACGCATGTGCCAAAAACGATGTCCATCCGTTACCTTGGTCTGCGGCTCTTTGAACTTGTAGCTCTCGCCCTTGAGGCTTCCGTGTGTCCCGCAGGGAATGCAAAATGCAACTGTCCGACGCTTGTCCGACGCAGAGCTGAAAAAAGCTGGAGGTCCTGAAGAAGAGGGTCCATCGGCAGAAGCGGGCTCCAGCATCTGATAGCGAGTGGATCAATTCTACAGTCTGTTTCTGGTGAACGAATGTAGCAAAACTTTATAGGCTATGTCCCAGGAAGTATATGTGACATCTGCCAAACCAAGAGAAAGGGAGGCTCTGCAGGCATGCAGCTTTTATTCTGGAAGCCCAAAGACAGCGGCAACGAATCGCTGATGTCGCAAGGCAGTGCTCACACCACGTGTCATGGGTCTGTGTTCTTCTGCAACATGTATGTAGCACATACTGCAAGGCACCGCAAGGAAGTCATTATTGCAGTCAGCCATTCATCGCACGTATTCTTTTATGCAGCTTGCAAGTTGCCGGCTTCACGGCCCCAGTGAAACTCGTGCCTGTCCACTCACTCAGACACAATGGGTCGAACGGCGAGGCGAACGACATTGTGCTTTTCGAGTGAACAAACTGGACAGAACAACGAGTAAAGTCAACCCCAAACTCAAGACACACTGAACTACCAGGAGAGAGTGCATTATGCACTCCGGACCGACGGGGTGCCCTGCGGCACATTGTCGCCGAGGCCAGCCGTGGTGTCTGCGTCCGACGACAAGTCGAAGGTCCACTTGGCCTTCATGTCCGGCAAAGTAGGAAAGAAACTCGCGC